TTTGTTGATAATCTTACACTCCTCCTCTTCAATGGGTTTTACAGGCTTTTATAATTAATCCAACTAGACAAGGGACCAGGATAAGGGAATACTATCCTCACTTTGCAGTTCCACAGAGAAATACTTCATGCCAGAGCCGAGCACTGAGATCCTGATTCCCAGTCTTGTGCTCACATGAAATTTCTGAGTAATTAAACTTCCTTTACTCATTTCAGCTGCTCCTCATTAACCAGGAGTACAAACTCATTAGAGGAGGAACTTTTTGTTACATGTGCTCAGAACGCTGGCACAATGAGGCTGTGGATTCTTCTGAGCCTCTCCAAGTATTACTGGAGTGTAAACACCAATCATGGAGAAGGCACTTCTCGTTTTTAATGGTTGTGTCTCAGAAAGCAAACAGTGTTCAGTGCTACTTTTATTTAAATTTTAGTGCAATTTTCAGGTCTTTACTTACCTGAGTTGAGCCCTTGTCAGGAAATCTTTACACTTCTAAAAAACAAAGAAGAAATTGTATGTTTAAAAAAAAAAGAAAAGAAAAAAAAAAGAAAGCTGTTTTTTACCTCTCTAGCTCTGCACACTCGTGCTGCCAGAGATGAAGAAGTGGCTTCTTCTGACCCAGGAGAGTTTTATTCTTCATGCCTAAGACCAACTGCCCAGAACAAAAAGATAACTTTCAGCTAAGGAAATTTCTTTATTATTGTATTTTTAACTTCAGCTCACATGATCTGTAACGCCCTGAACTGAGAACTATAAAGATCAGAGCAGATAATGCTCCATTACCCAGCTCTTTGAGTTCCTGCAATCCTACTTGGGCAGAGTTATCTGCTTTGGAGGATCAGGACTCCTCCATTTGAGCAATCTGAGGCACAGATCACATCAGAAATTTCCATAACATCTTGCCAACATGGTGTTTTTCAGATCCATAACCTCAGCATGTCTGATAATCAGAAAGTCAGTGGTGCTACAGAGAGCGAATTCAGTACAAAAATGCACTTACAGAAAGACTATTCAGGCCATTAACATCGACTGTACTCTCTTTTTTGTCATTAAAAGTTACCTTCCTAATTAGTTTGTTCTGCCAGTCGCATGCAGGAAACGCAGACACTCTGCTATTCTTACCCATTGCTTCCACTTTGCAATGATAAAGCAGCCCTTTGAATGGTTTCAGGGCTTATTCCACCATTTAATGTGGAATTTCAAATAATCTAACAGATGGCATTGTCATCATTTCTCCTTCCCCACAGAATGAAAATGAACAAACACTTGACATTTCCAATATGTCTTCATCTAATGCAAGAATTTTTAGAAGGCATGGAAGAGTGAGATCTGCTTTGCCTTAGGTGGCCAAAATTGTTAAATGTGTCCTCAAAATCCTACATGAGCCACGAGACTGCAGGAAAAACAGGTATATAGGAACAGAATCAACGTGGTGGTGTCTTGTACCAGCAGCTCTGCCCAGAACAAAGCAGGAACGTGCAATGCCAGAGCTGCTGCAGCTGGAGAATGAGCGGGGAATGCTCATTAGAGAAATTAGCTCGAGCTGCTGCAGTGCTTAGAAATCAGCTCACATTTACAAACCTCCAGCAGATGCATCATTTGGCAAAAGATTCTGCAGGCGGTGATTTTGCCATTCATCAAGGATCACCTCTTAAATCTGGGAGCCGGGTGAGGGTGCAGATGACACAGGAGGATAAATTTAGAGATGGCTGAAAACAATTATTTTGATTAAGTCTCCAGCCAATGAGAGTAAGAGCCTTCCTATTCCTCCCCTTCCCCCCTCCCTCACCCCCCTCTGATGAAGGGGGAGGAGACTGTGTGAGTAGAAGTGATCTTCATTTTCCATGTGGTAGATATTTGGATGTAGGTCTGGCTGCTGCAGGCTCTGCTCAGCGTAGTAGGGAGTGTATTTTATGGGATATGATGCTTTGCTTCTGTGTTAGCATCAGTTAGCCTTGGAAAAGGAGCTAGAAGGGGAATATGCAAGTTTTCTTACCTGGGAAAGGGGAGACTATAGTTGTTAAAATAAAAAAAAAAAAAAAAATTGGCTTCTTCTTGACCTCTCCTGCCACTGAGACGAGCCCTCAGACTGGGTGAGTTGGTTCTTCTGGGAAATCTTTGTGAAGTTGTCCCCAAGCTCCCCTGGCTCCTGAGCTGCTCCTCGCTCATTCCAGCCTCTCCCAGCTTTGACAGTGTTTCCCCATCTTAGGAGCTCTTGGTCTAAAGGCAATGCCCACTCCTCTTTTTTAAGAAACATCAACAAAGGCATCCTTTAACCAGTTTGAGCTGTTTTATCAGAAACAAAATGATGGCTGACTGGCAAAATTGTGTCCACTGAGTTTTGGCTCACTGTTATTGTAGATGTCGGGGTTTTGTCTTTAAAATAATATTAATATGGAGATAAAATGCCACTCTAAAAAAAAGTTATTTTCTGTACAGGGGTCTTCACATTTTGGGTATTTTTGAATAGTAGTTTCCTTTGGGATTATTGCAAACTGGTTTGGGTTGGAAGGGACCTTAAAGCTCATCTTGTTCCATCCCCTACCACGGGCAGGGACACCTTCCACTAGCCCAGGTGTCTCCAAGCCCTGTCCAACCTGGCCTTGGACACTTCCAGGGATGGGGCAGCCACAGCTTCCCAGAGAAATCCATTCCAGGGCCTCACCAGTCTCAATTTCTTCCTAATTCTTAATCTCACCATGACCTCCTTCAGCCCAAGGCCATCGTTCCTCTCTGTGTGTAAGTTCATTGCCAACACAGCTGAAGGCTGAAGTCTGTGCTTATCCCTAAGTTATCCTGCCATTCCTTTTTCCTCACTTCATTTCCAAGTGGATTTGAAGAGGTTCCTCCTCCCCTGCTTGGTGTAGTTACTGCTCCTACTTGCACTGTTATATCAGAGTGGAGTTAAACAACAGCCAGAGCTGAGAGTGGTTGAAAAACTGAGCTGAAGGGCTGTAACTTTTAACACCATAAACTACAATTGCAAAATAAAATAGCAAGAGCATGGAAAAAAAGAGATTTTATCTTATTTACTCTCTGGTAATTGTTGGCACTTGACTACAGTCAGCTGCCTGTCTCTGATTGACAGCACAATTCCAGCCAGAGAAATCAAAAATAGCCCAGCATTTGAGTAATTTTAGTCTTTTTATAGCCTAATACTGTCACAAATAAAAGCCAATGTAACAAGTAGGCAAATGAAACTCTCTTCATAGGTGAACTGGGTAAACTGGGCAGTGCTGTGGGAAGATATACCCAGACGGCACTGAATCTTACTTCAGCAACTCGTGCCCAGAATGAAACGGGATTAGTTCCTTTTTTTTGTTCATTAGACTTAATATTTCTGGTATTAGTTAAGTTCTACATCCAGATTCTTGTTGGGGTGAGGAGGATGGCAGAGGGAGGAGGGGGAAGGACCAACCTTTCTCAATATCTCACTCTGAAGGAACCTCAATAAGTAAATTTCTTACCTGATCTTTGTCAGAAAACCCACTGAGCCAAGCAAACTTAGAATAGTTGGAAGTTTCCCGCTGGAAAATCAGTAGTAGATACTGTTTTTATCATTATCTCTTGAGTTACCTCCTCTAATTTATCCCCACACCATTGAGAGAGGAAATAAAAGAATCAATTCTCCAGGACAGGATGTAGGAGGTCATCTTTTCCTGATGATCTGCAGGTTCCTCCTCCTCAGAGGGAGCAGGGTGAAAGCCTTGAGGAGTTCTGCTGTTTCCCCAGGAACAGTGGCATTAGGAATGTTGATCTGCAGCATCAGACACTTTTCTGCGACTGTTTTTCCTTTGTTACTAATTGCAGGTTTTTAATTTGGTACTTGTAGACAGTGCTGGGCCTGTGGCTGATGTTTTGGCACCAGAACACTGGGTGACACAGTAGATTTGCTGGGGGATTTTTATTAGTTTTTTTGGGTTTTAAACCATTTTAAGCACCTGTCTGATTTGAGGACCGACACACAAGTCAAGCTTCATTAACTTGTGAAGTGGATTAGTCATTAAACACCTTTGTGGACGTTTTAATTCAGAATCAAAGTGGCTTTAATTGGATTTAGCTTACTTGGCTTTCCAAGTAAATTCAGGTAAATCAAATTAAGGTTAATTCAGTGGAAAGGAGTGGGCAGACATCCTCATTATGGGCTACATGGAGCAACTGGAAACAGGAGACTGGGCTGGATGGGGCCTGGAGCAACCTGGGCTAGGGGGAGGTATCCCTGCCCATGGCAGGGGGTGGAAGGAGATGAGCTTTAAAAACCCTTTCAACCCAAACCATTCCATGATTTTATAATCCTAAATGTTGAGGAGCAGTACTCTGAAGTGGACAGGAGAATCTTTGTAGTTTTAGGGACTAGCTTCTTAATTTACCAAAGAAATGTCAGGGGGCAACAAATTGAACATAGATAGGAAGAACAAGCTGTAGCTGCTGCATCTTTGGAAGGACAACTGTAAGTCTGCAATTCAAGCTGGAAGTTGTTTCTTGAAGAGATCTCTTAAAGAAGTGGGAATTTGCATCCTAAATAACCCAGTATCAACACTAAAGTAAAGAAAAAAGGTGAGTTCACTTAAATGGGACATCATCTATAAAATGAGGAATGGCAGGTGAAGCAGAAAATCATGAGTTTCTACGCTATCAGGCTTGTTTGAAGGCTTTTCAGGGATTAAAATAAAAAAGAAAAGAAAAAGCCAAACCACTGAATCTTAAAGAATGCAGGATAAATTCAATCACACTGTTCCAGCTGTGACCAGGGAACCTTCCGTTCACCAAGCAGTGTGTTACTAAATGAACACCCAGGTGACATCTGGCCAAGAAAAACCAAAGTGCTCAAGGAGGTGTCACTGATAGAATGACCTGGCTTTTGTTGCTCTTTGGTAAATGCTCTTTGGGTATTAATTGCCTCTCCTGTGATGCCAGTGAATGTAATTAATTCTTGATGATGAAACAGTTCCAGTAATCCAAATTACTTCATTTTAATACTTTTTTTGGTTTTTTTTTGACAGGAAGCCTCCTATTTGCCAGCTGTTGACGCACTGCCTGGCCCGCAGAGTGTGAAGGATGAGGTGCTGCTGATGACCATTTGGCTGACAAGCTGTGGCCAAGTGGCCACAGATCAGTGTGATGGGCAGGTGCCTGACAAGGTGCTGGGAGCAGCCAACATCTACCAGGCCCTCGTGACGTGGCTTCTCTCTCTGGTGAGTGCATGCAGTGACAGGGCACTAAAGGTTCTGTGTTTTGTCCTCCAGTGAATATATCATCACTCTTGAAGTCTCCTCTCTTTCCAACAGCTCTGAAATGGTGGCTGAACAAAGGGGAAATGATGTTCTCATTCACCTTAGAGTCAGTAAATTAAAGTCTCGCTGAAGTCAGTGGGAGTTGGGTTGTGTCTGTAGTTCATGGAGAAGTAAAAAAATTGTTGGGCCAGACTCACAGTTGTTAAAAGTGGCTGCTGGAAGGTGTTAGACTTTGTCCCTGGCAAAATAAACTAATGGATACAGGTGCTTGTTTCTAACCACTTACTCTAGATAAGAACAGATCCTTTCTGGTAGTTGAGAGGGCTGTTAACAAGTTGGGGACTGCTCCATCCTAATTGTCCTTTGGTTCATGTGGTTTTCTCCTCTAAAAAGCCACCTCTCCCTCTCTCCTTCCTCATGCAACCCCTGTGACCCTTCATTCCCTAGGGAAAACAGGCAATGTGTGTTTTCCCTTCCCACCCTGTGTTCTGGCCTTATTCTTTTCCCCTGGGATACCAATCCTGATCCATTGATGCAGTCAAGGTAGATCTCACCCTGAACAGCCAGCCTGCACCAGGCTTTTAAATCACTTAAACTCCACTTAAACAGAATTAATTGTTAATGATCTTCATGCTTCCATTAAAAGGTTGCTAACATTCTTTCATGTTAGTTCAGTGCTAATGAAAATTGCCACTGGAACAGCCCCAGAGCCTGGATCTTCTATTCAGAGACTGGTTAGCTCATGACCAGCTGCAGTGTGAGCTTTCTTCCCTGTGTTCTTCCCATTAAAACTCCCAGAACTCTGATGTGTGGTAGCTCTCTCCAAGCCTCTGAGGATATCTCATCAATCTATTGCACACAGGTTCTCAAACAGCTGCTGCACAGCAATGGAAAACTCTGCATTTCTTTCATTCAAAGAACTGAAAATGTTGGGGCATTTTTAGACCAAAATCTTATCTGATAATCTGTGTAATTCCACTGATTCCCTTGCTGGTGGAAATCAGCATATCTTTACTGATTTCACTGGAGATGTGCTGGTTGGTGCCAGCTGAGAGCATCCTCCAGATGAAACCATTCCCCAGTGGCAGAGCTGCTGCAGAATTTCCCATGTGAAACCAGTGTTCAAAGCACTCCAGGACTGGGCACTGGTGGTGTAAGTGATCCAGCTGACCCAAGGAAAATCCACTCAGGTACTGTGTTCAGAACATGTTTCTGAAGGCCTTTGTCTCACTGTAAATAGTTTGGGCTTATATATGCAGTAAATAGCAGAGCTGATAATCCATCTGCAGACTGGTGGTGGTGGTATAAACTGTGAGAACAACACTTATCCACCAGAACCCTGGGAAGGAATTCCAGTCCTGTAGCTCCAACTTGCCTGTCTCTTCATCCAGAGCGTGTTCTGGTTCAGGCATCTCTGCCTCCCAGGGCTGCTCTTCCCTTCTCCTGGTTTGCTGATTCCCTGTGTCTGGCTTTCCCATGGCTTTCTGCCCTCTTTCACCTGTTTTGCAGGAACTCCAGTGCCTCCATACTCTGTTTCAGGTGTCACTCCTCTCTTTTTTTCTAATCTGTAATAAAGTTTTTCATGCATTCTGCATGTTAAAATGTATCATGTTTCTGCTGACTTCGAGCAGCCTTAAGCGCCAAGAGTGGTCTCTCCTACTGGAACCCTCTCTCTGTGGTATTTACAATAATAAATTACATCCAGGGTTCATCTTGGGATTGGCAGAAGTCACTTTTTAGCCTCTTTGGTTTAGATCAGTTATGTATAGTGGAAAATAAGGTGTTTGCCTCCCACACACGTGTGCACAAAAAAAAATCCATCAGAAAGAAATCGCCTCAGCCAAACTGAAAGGGGATTCAGTGGATGGGCATTGATGGGGTTTGGGCTATTAGAGCACTCAGCTCCCTGGATTGTTGTGTGTTGGGGGATTCTGCTCAAAAGCAACAGAAAAAGATGAAGAGAGGTTTTTCAGTCTGTCTAAAAGTCCAATTGTGTTCCCCTGGATCCACAGGTGCCTCCTTTGAAGAGCAGCAATGGCCCCAAGGCTCCGTTTGAGGTGGTGGGGCTGCAGCAGGCCTGGAGGGAGGAAGGACTGGCCCTCTACGCTGCTCTGGCCCCAGCAGATGAATCTTCAGCCCAGAGCTGCCCCAAGAGCCACGAGACACAGGTGAGTAGCAGCATTTCCACCTGCTGGTTGTGCCCAGCAGCTGTGGGCAGGTACCAGTGTTCTTGACTAAGGACTTGACTGGACATGCCAGTTGGAGCTCAAACTTCAGCAAGTGCTGCTCTAAATTGGAGTGGGGGACCAGCCTGGGACTGTGGGAACTGAAAGATAGCTTGGGTTGGCAATTAGCTGTAAGCACTCCTCAGTTCTGCTGAATTTAGTTTCTTGTGCAGACAAGAAACCAGCTCTCTGTGGCATCATTTTCCCTCTATTGCTCATTAGCTGTAACCTCGCACTGCAGGAATTTAACTGGCTTCAGAGGAGACACTTCTGTGGGACATAAAATGGATTTTGCTCCTGTACTTTACCAGGGCCTGCCCTGTGCAATAAAACACCAAGCTGGAAGGTTCTTGCACACAGGCACATGCAGATGGCACGTGTAAGATAGGGCATGATGTGAATTTGTGTCCTGAGCACAGCAGAGCTATGAAACAGCACCTGTGGGCTGTGGTTTGTTGGTTCTGTCTTTTCATGGAGCTGATACGACACAGGTTGCAATTCTGAGCATCTTGTTCCTTTTTTTATTTATTTTGGAGACAGTTTTTTAGGTGGTGTAGCTGCTCTTGGCTGGTGTGAATACCTATCCTACCTAGGCAGTGTAGCTGATTCTTACTGGAAAGTGTACCCAGGTGTTGCTGGGGAGCAACAATCTGTGTGTAACCCAGATCTCCTGAGAACCACTTGCTTGAATAACTATCCTGTCACTGAGGATCCTCTGAGGTGCTGCCCTGTGCTCTGCTGAGGCTGCTGAGCTCCTCTCAGGGGGCTCAAATCAAGACTTGTGGCTTTAGTGAGCTGATAGTGGAATTTCTACTCCATTTTTGCTCGTTTCACCCCAATAATGTGAACAGATACACCCCCAGGTATCTGGATTATACCTGCTGGACACATCTTGTGAAGTTCAAATGGAATAGGAGGTGTAAACAAGTTCTAAAAACTCATTTGACTTCCCATACTCAGCTGCAGCAAGAGTTCTTCCCTGGCAGCTGAACAGCAAAGGTTGAATTTTCCATGATGTATCATAAAGCCTGGAGTTTGACAGCTGTGGCTCCAGTACTCCTGCAAGCAAATGATTGATGCTGGCACCAAAATGTCATAAATAAAACACTGCCAAAAAAACCCCCCCAAACAATAAGCATTAGTGTTTGGGCAGAAGCGCCCCTGGGCAGAGGCTGATGAGAGCAGGCAGTCTGGTGGACTGGACAAAGGTTTAATGCTGATTTCAGTCTCAGGCAACTGAATTCAAGATGTTTTTCCTCTATGGAGCAAAGCAAATGGAGGAACAGAGTCTGAGCTGCCTCCTGCCTGGTTGCTCCCTGCTGGTTTCAGCTGAGGGGTTGGGCAAAGCAGCAAAATTATTTATTGTTGTGTATGTTCAAAATATGAGCAGTGATACACAATTGAATGAATATTTGGAGGTGTGGGCTCAGGCCGCTCTGAGCATTTGGTTGGAGTTGGGAAGGGTTGAATCACAAGTTAGTGGAACAGGGGGTACAGTTTCTCCAGTCCATGTCATAGAACTGTGGTGTAGTTGAAGCTGGAAGGGGTCTTTTCAAGGCCATTGAGTCCCACCCCCTGCCATGGGCAGGGACACCTTCCACCAGCCCAGGTTGCTCCAAACCCTGTCCAACCTGGCCTTGGACACTTCCAGGGATCCAGGGGCAGCCACAGCTTCTCTGGGCAACCTGTGCCAGGGCTTTACCACCCTCATCATAAAAACCTCACAGAATCACAGAATGTGCTGAGCTGGAAGGGACCCACAAGGATCATCGAGTCCAACCCTTGGCCCTGCACAGGATCATCCCCAAGAGTCACCCACGTGCCTGAGAGTATCATCCAAATGTTCCTTGAGCTCTGTCAGCCCTGGTTAACTACCAACCCACCCTCCCTTTGGGGAAAGAACCTCTTTCCAATATCCAGCCCACACCTCCCCTGGCACAAGCCCAGGCCATTCCCTTGGGTCCCGTCAGTGGTCACCTCAGCTGTGACCTGCAGGTATTGGGACAGTTCCTCCAAGCAGGACTGTGTGTGGAACTCAGTTTCCTCTTGGTAGAGGTTCTGCCTTTGTGGTTCCACTGACTTTTGTTACTTTTGCTTTCCTGAGGCATCTGTAAAGCTGCTGCTTTCCCCAGCAGAGATCTAAGCTGGTAGGAACAACACAAGTCCAAATGTCAGCAGAGACAAGAAAAATAACAGCAACTGGTCTTGCTGTTCCTCCCCCTGGGCAGCTTCAGCTACAGTTGGAGAGAAATGGGGTGGATTTAATTCCTCACACTTAAATCCTCAGTCCCTCGCTGTACTGTTAGTGTAGAGGATTTTAATGGTTGAATAACAAGATTCTGTTGGGGCACTTATTGGCTCTTGTTCCAGTTGTCTCCTACGGGCACAAAGAGAACCACTTATGAGGGCTTCCCTTCAAACTCTGGCTGGCTTTCCAGGTGCTTTTATTGCACCTGTTTATTATTAGAATGCATGCAAAAGGGACATGTGTAAATGTTTAATATTATGACAAATTGATATTTTAATGTTCTTAATGTGGAGAGGCCGGAGTCCATTTTCAACCCTAAAAGGGAGCTCTGAGACATCAACTTCGTATTTACTGTCATCTGTATGTCTTCTGTTATTTATCTCATTTTATTTTGCCATCCATAATTATAAAAGGAAGTATAATAGTGGTCTCTCCAGGCAAAAAGCTCCTGTTCTCAGCAAATCAAAAAGCCTTTTGGCTTATTCAACTAGGGTGGCATCTATTCCTATATCCAGTAGTTCTGTTTCCTCCCATTTTTTTTGGGTTTTAGTTTGGGATATTTTTATTCTGCCCTTCCCCAAACAGCTAATAAAAATGGGGCAGGTTTGAACATCCTTGCATGGTTTGGTTTCTTGTTGTCAGGACAAATGCATAAACACAGATCTCTTGTAATCCCTGCTCGCTGATAGACAGGCTGCAGTTCCAAGCATGTCTGATGGGAATTAAGGTTTGTAAAGCCTTTGCTTTCTAAGAATCTTCCAGGCATTCCCAATTAGGCACACTGGCCCTGTGCAGGGCTCTGTGGCTCCTGCCTGTGCACTTCCTCACTTTACTCTCTGGTGGCTCAGAACAGCTCACAGTCATTAATTTTGGGGCTTTTCTGCAGACCTTTCTTCCTTGAGCTCCACTTTCTGTGTGCAGTAATCATAGAGCCATAAAATATTCTGAGCTGGAAGGGACCCACCAGGACCATGAGTCCAACTCCTGGCCCTGCACAGGAGCAGCCCCAAGAGTCACACCATGTGCCTGAGATAGTTGTCCAAACCCTCCTGCAGCTCTGGCAGCCTTGGGGCTGTGCCCACTGCCCTGGGGAGCCTGTTCAGTGCCAACCACCCTCTGGGGGAAGAACCTTTCCCTAAAATCCAACCTGAGCCTGCCCTGACACAGCTCCAGCCATTCCCTGGGGGCTGTCCCTGCTCACAGGGAGCAGAGATTGGAGCTGGCCCTCCACTGCCCCTCGTGAGGAAGCTGCAGACCCTGATGGGGTCTCCCCTCAGTCTCCTCCAGCTGAGCAGCCAAATGCTCTCAGCCCCTTCCCTGTCCTTGTGTCCCTCCTTTGGACACTCCCCCATAGCTTCAGATCCTTCAGATATTGTGGCCCCCAGAACTCGAGGTGAGGTTGCCCCAGTGCAGGGAAGGATGGGGCCATCCCTTCCTTTGAAGAGCAGGTGGAAAGAAGATGCTTTGCGTAATTGTTGTCTGTTAATTTCTAATTAGGTCTCATTGGGGTCATCAGTTTTGCTCTCTGAAAGTTCTGCTAATTAAGAACCAACCTGAAGAACAATGAGGCTTAGAGGGGAGGTTAAATGATGGAAAACTGTAATTTAGCAGTGCAGTATTTGATGTCAGTGTATTAATATTAGTCTCAGTCTTAAAAAGCATCATAGAATGGTTTGGATTGGAAGAGACCTTAAAGCTCATCTTGTTCCACCCCCTGCCATGGGCAGGGGCACCTTTCACTTGACCAGGTTGCTCCAAGCAACCAGGCCTTGGACACTTCCAGGGGTGGGATGTTAATATATTCATTCATGTCTCTATGAAACCCTTTGAAAACAAGTGTTTCATTGGACTGGGCTGTTTTATGGTCCTGTTTATGGCATTTCCTCCCTCTCTGAGTGTGGTGTAATCTGCCTTGGAGGACTATTTGTGAGCTGATGGATGCCATGAGCAGGGTGTGATGGTTTGGGAGGCTGTGGGGTGTCACATTAGGGGTTTGGTTTGGTGAATCTGAAGTGCAGCTGTGTGGGACTGGAATCTGGGATGGCTGCAGACAAAGAAGGAGCTGTTCCAGGTGCAAGGTACAGACAGAAAGCTCCTAAGACAACCACAAATTGATTTTTAACCATTGACTCTTTGCAGAACACAGAAGATCTACGAGGACCATCTGTGTTTTACCAGAAGATTTCTGCATTTCTTGCCTCTACGTGGCTTCCAGATGTTATTTGGTGGAGGGCAGAATTGGCCAGTTGCTTCCAAAACCAGCTGTGTCCACTTCTTGAAATTCCCTCTGTCTTGCTCAGTAACGTTGCTGCTGTTAATCCTGACCCTCAGGTACTGAACAGAAAAGCTTGGAGTTCTGGTAATTGTTTTCTCAGGTCCAGTAAAACTTGTTCTTTTAGTGTTAACAGATATTCTTGTTTACTTTAGCAAAGTATTTAAGCAGGCTTAAACAAATGCTTCTAATATCAGAATATTCTCTGGTTCTGTGTGGGAGTTACAGGGATGGAGCACATCTCAAAATCAAGAATTTCCAATCTCTTGCCTGCCTGGAGATGTCTGCAAGAATACTTTCTGCTGTATTTAAGTAGAATAATAATTAACTTTTCACCTCTTTCAGCTTAGCAAGAGCTCCATAACAAATATTCAAGTGTATGAAACGTTACAAGAACTCATTATACTGAAGGGGGGGGGTATTCCTTGAGGGCATCCAGGCTTGCTTTTAGGCCTTTACAAACTTTCCTACCTTAGTGTAAATATTTAGAGTGGGTTTTCAAAGCAAGTTTAATATGGCCTGATTTCTGTACCTTTTGAGGGAATGTTCTCCTTGTTTCTTTCCCATGACTTCACCTCAACCGTGGTCTTTTCCCAGTATTTCTAAAATCGACAAAACTCTTGAGACACAATTCCAGGGAATGGCAAACCCTGCAGTTCTGCTTCACGGGGAAGTTTTTAGTTCTGAAAATAACGTAGCAGGAAAGGTTATTTTGGAAATAATGTCTGCAATTTCAGCCAGGCTTGAGGATTACTGTGACTCTGCGACAATCAGTGCCATGAAAGCTTAGGGGCTTAGCAGTGCACTTAGCAATTTGCCTAAAGGTTTATCCCACTTTCTGTGGAGGAAAAAGGAGGCTTAGTGTTGTTGATTTGCAGTCACCGTGGCTTTCAAGCAGAAGCAAGTGCCATAAAGCAGCCTGACACACTCGTAATAGATAAATCTGCCGGGGGTTTTAAGGCATAAACCCAGGGAATGGTTTAAAACAGTCAGGGCTTTTATGCAAATCCCTTATTAGGGGAATTATAAATCATTAGGAGTTGAACAGCAAGATAGCAGACACTTTCTGGGGGTGGATCTTCGCCTTGATGCCGTAGAAAACCTGAAGTCAATTCAAAAAACCACGTTCACTTCTCAAGTTCAAGTCCTCTGTGCCACCCAGGCCCCTGGGGCTGAGTTAGGCTGTGTGTTTGGGCTTTTCCATGGAATCACGGAATCACAGGATGGGCTGGGTTGGAAGGAACCTTAAAGACCATCTCCTTCTACCCCCTGCCATGGGCAGGGACACCTTCCACCAGCCCAGGTTGCTCCAAGCCCCATCCAGCCTGGCCTTGCACACTTCCAGGGGCAGCCACATTTTTTATAGCTGTTTAAGCAGAAAAGTTGATTTTCAAAGCAGGGCTCAATGAGCCACACTCACAGCAGGCAGCAGCTAACACTGATGTGTGCCCTGAAGCTTTACAAAGTGGTACCAACTGAGAATGTTCCCGAGTGTCATTAAAATACAACCAAAAAGTGCTGCATAGAAAATTCAATATCATATTCTTTTAACTTCAGTGGCTTGAAGGTTTGGTGCAAAGCCAGTGATCCATGCTTTGCTTTTTCTATATTTATATTTGTTTTGAGGTGCTGTATACAAAATAAGCAGACCAAAGAACCTGCTCCCATGTGGAGAAGCATTCAGTCATGCTTTTGCTCCAGGTAGATTAAAGACAGAAATCCTGACAGGCTGATGGAACAATTAAACCCCAGGTTAGGTTAGGAGTGACAACACCTCTGTGAAAGTTCTTAATGCAAGGTCCCTTGTCAGCAAAAAGAGGATTTCTTCATATTAGCATAAAATAAAAGTACTCTCTGCTGTTAAGCCTTAAGATGCATTAACCTTAGGGATACAGGCAGTAGATGTAGTGTTGATGCTGCTTTTCCTCTGCCTGTTTGTTCCATACTGAAATTCTCTTCCTCTCCCTCAGCTGTTCCAGACACTGGGATGTTTGCTCACCATCTTTTGGTCTCCTTCCAGAGCATCTCCCACCTGTGACCTTGAACTCCCCACCTGTGCAGGTGCCTGCCAGGCCAGAGCAGTCAGGGCATGGCAGTGCTGATGGGGTCAGGGAGGTTTTCAGGGATGGAGGTTCCCCTTCTTCCTCAAGTGATGAGATTTTTTAATTTTATTTCCAGAAAATCCATTTTGTTGCTCTTCCAGGTGTTCAGTTCCCTGCATGCTGCTCCTTTAGTAGATTCCCTGCTCTGACATGAGGGTTGTGTGTTCTCTTTTAAGACAATAGTAATGATTAAGGGCAGGTGTACACAAAGTTCCCTCTCTGCTTTTCACTTAAGCAAATCTCCCTTTTTTTTTAATTAGTTTTTTTTTTCTGTTTTGTTTTGTTTTCCTGGCTAAGCATATCTAAGAATTCCAGACCAGGGTCCAGGGAGCTGATACTGCCCCTCAGTGCTGCCAAAACCAGCAGCCAGCACAGACTGACCCAACAGGAAGGTTGATGGACGGGAGAAGGCTGGCAGAAAGTGGAGCAGTTCTTTCATGTGGGATTCCAGACTTTTGGGTTTCCCCTGCTAGAGTTGATGTTAACTGTGTTACCAGAGGAGCCTCCCAAACACAAGCTTCGAAAGTTGCAAATTTTACTTCAAATACAGAAATAACTGTGTAGTCAAGAAGAGCCCTACATCGCTGATCAAATCAAAATCCCTGTGGATGCCTTGGAAAAGTGGAGCCTGGATGCAACACTTGTAGCACTTAAAGGACCTGATTTAAAGATGCGGTTGCCTGAGCTCTGTGTGCAGCCTCTGAAGAGGGAGTGGGAGGCAATTGCAGAAGATCTTTCAGGTCTGTGAGTCTGTGTTTCAGCATGAGCTCAGTGAGAACGCTCTGAGCTTTAGAGTTTGAATGCTGTGACATTATATGACCTAAGCTGGGCCAAGCCACGTTTTGTTTTCCAGCCTGAGCTGCCTGGAGTGCAGCACAATCTGCCTAGCTCTGATCCACAGATTGCTGTGAGCTCTGTTTTACTGCATGGATCAGGGCTGTGCTCTCCTCCTCCAAAGCTTGAAAGAGTTGATTGCTGTGCAGCTGAACTGGGCATTAGGGAGGGATAAAACATCCACAACAGCTCTTCCACATCTGCTTCCCAACCCAGAGCAGCAGGATGAGGCCTGCAGCATGACAGGAGTCCAGCAGCTTGGCTGGCTGAAATCCAGGCTGAAGGTGGAAAGCATGAGTTTCAAAAGGACAGGTTTATCCTGCCCTTCACTTTCCAGATCTTGCTCCTGTCTTGACTTTGTCTGAGTTGGTGCAAAGGGTCTGATCTTGCATGTCTGGCACCCTGAGTTTGCTGTGCAGCCTGAGAACGTTGTATCAACAGCTTTGGTGGGAGCACATCACCTGATTGATGATTCCACGTGGATATGAATTGTCTGTGGGTGAAACATTTGTGCTGGGCCCTCACCCCTGTGCATTTTTAGGAGATCATCTATATCTGCAGCACAGAACAGCTGCATGGCTGTGTCTTCAGGAGGCAGAAGGGAGAAGGTGACATCCTGGCCTCAGCTGAGTCCTGCTGGAGTCTGTCATTGATTTTCCTGGAGCCAGGAGTTCAGGCAGTCACTGGTATTTGTAAGTTAAAAACCCCCTAACCTTTAGAAGCAGGAAGGACTACAGTGATGTCTACCAGAGCTGGCACAAAGATGAAGGCATAGCTTGGGGAGGACGAAACCATTAGAGTTTTTCATTCTTCCTAAAATTTGATAGCTCGCATTTAAATTGTGCCCAGTGCTCATTACTGCAGAAAAGAGCAGCTTGAAAGAGCTCTTGAGCTCATGTTCTTTGCCATTAGTGCTGTGCATGATGGGCACAAAGGCTGGGAGTTACTGTCTCGCTCTCTCTTCTGTGTTTAAAGATATCCCTTTCCCTGTCCAGAAGGGGAACAATGGGAAGTGAGATCCATTTCAAACTGCCTGAAATAACAGTTGTCTTCCTTGATTAGCTGCCTTTATCCCAGCCTTTTTGCTGACTGGGATCTTCCTATGGTGCCTCCACATTTCCTGTAGGATCTTTTCTTTCCTATAGCATCCTTTCACTTATTAGTCAAATTTTAAAAAATTAAAATGTATTAATATTAATTAAATATATCCTCTTTTGTGAGTTCATTTAAATGAGAACCTACAAGGCAAGAAGTGTCTCCTGCAAGTTGCAAGCTGAAGAAAGCTTCCAGAAAGAGGAAAAAACATGGAGATTTCCCATACATTATTCAGATGAATGATTGGTTCAGAATATGGAGGAGAATTATGTCAAGGAGATCCTGTGCTAAATTCTGTAAATACTAAATTCCTTAGCCATCTGAAGAGAGAGTGCGCAGCGGGGAGGGAAGATGTGCAGGGGACCTTGTGTTAATCTGGATTCCACAAGGAATTTTATGTTAATTTACTGGGATTCAGGGCAGTGGGGAGAGGAGAGAGTTTGAGAGCGATGCTGCCTAAATCAGGGGCACGATTTGGTGAATCACATCACACATGAGCTGGGCTGGAGAGAGAGAAGCTTCCTTTGTTGCCCTGGTATGCTCAGTGGGGGCTGGAAGGGAGAAGTTCCAGCACTGACAGTGGCTCTGGAGGTGCTGGGAGATGCAGCATCTTCCTCAGAGGGGTCTGGGGTTTCCTCACAGTGATAACAGCTGAGCACAGCCCTGCCTTGGAAAGGACCTTGTGTGTGAGGAGATGAGACTGTGCAGTACCTGGGGATTCTTCCTGCAGTTTCTGTTTTCCTGCTGGGGCTGGGAAGCAGCCTGGAAGACTCACTGCAACTTTAAAGACTCTCTTAGATCATCTGACAGCCAGAGCTATCTCTTTGTTGTCAGAGATGGGAGCAGAGTACACTGGAAGCACAAAGAAGAGATCATGGGTTTGGTTGTATTTCTGGATGAGTTAAATATTCATGGCTTTGCTGCACGCAGTTCCAGCCTTCTCTGAAATGTGCTTTTTCTTGTTTCTGCTCGAGATTTTACACCCCATTTTTGTTCTGCTGTGAATTCCCTTCCCATAACTGTCTGGCTTCATCTGGGTGACACTGTCTGAAACAAAGCAGTAGCTCAGGGTTTCTTCTAAATGCTTTTTGAAAAACTAGTGAATGTTTAGTTTAGTTATGGTACAAAGTGGTCTTTTTCAGTGTTGTAGCAGATATTGGAATGTGCTACTCAAAAAAGAACAAAGATAATTGGCAAAAAGGAATAATACAGATGGGCTGTTATGGATGTGCCTTCCCTTCCTGCTCTTCCTGGTTGTGGCAGTTTGGATGGAGAGGATTTCAGTGCTGGAAGAAGCCCTGCAGGCACAGCATGGCAGTGGTCATGGTTGTGTGAGTCTGTGGTTTGAAAGCTGTCATAGCATAAGTCAGAGCATCCCTGGGGCTGTGCAGCTGCCACTGGCTGATGAAGGGAACCTTCCTCCCTGGGGTAGTGCCTTTCCCATGAGATGTGAAGTTGTTACAGTGCTGAGCCTCACAGGAGAGAGATTTTCAGGTAGTTATCCTCCTCTTTTCTTGTGGGGAAATCTCCTCTCCATCCACCAGGAGACAGGTCAGCCCTCAGAGCTGATGGATCCGCTGGCCTGGGAGAGGCTTCCTCAAATGCTGTGTTGGCACAGAAGTTTTACAGCTGCTCTGATGATGTTGGGGGTGTGAGAGGAATGGGCCCTAAGGTGAAACCAATACAATTCTCACACCTACACTCTCGTGGAACATTAAAAGTAGCACTAAAGTATCATAAATAGTGTCGACCTTGCCAGTTCTTTCAGTGATTGTAAGGTCCTGAACTGCCTGGGGAGGGTTGCTCTGTGTTATGTGTTAAATAGGGCTCATCTCAGTAATATGATGACTGAGTTGATGCAATTCTCTCCTACATACACAGGGAAAGTGACTTTCTCCCTGGTTTTCCTGCTCATGGATAGGAAGGTTATGCCAGGAGTTCATCTTAGCCAGACTGGACAAAGCAGGGCTCTCGTAGCACGGCCATCTGTCTGTCCCTAACTCGTGAGGAGAAGGACTTTTCAGGAGAACTGAGACTTTTCAAACTTCATTTTCTGCTTCTTTGGGAACTCCCACTCAGGCTGGTTGGTAGAAAACAGAATCTGACTGATCTCAGGAACTCTTTCCCACAGGTGTGAATTCCCAGATCCCTGCTCTGGCAGGGAAGGAGGCTGGCCTGGGATCACCCTCATCCCCAACTTACACATGGTCCTTCCTGAGGGGCAGATTTTACCTTGGATTTCCCAGTGTGTCCCAGCTGGGGCTGGATGATTACCCTGCAGGTTTCTATGGAAATAGAGGCTGGTGTTGGTTTGACCACATTTGTCTCTTCTCTTCCTTCTTCTTGAAAGTTCAGAGATGTGAGGTTTGTTCAAGGAATAACTTGAATAAATAGAAGACTGGGGTCTTGCTGCACTCCCCGTCTGTGCACTGGGAATACTGGACCAATGTTGCACGTGGGAGCTGACACATTAAAAACAGAGGTGGTCTTCTGTCTCCTTGAATCCCCTTCTCCTCTGATGATGTTTTCCACAGCAACCAAGTGTAATATTATCAGTGGAAGCAGCAGAGCGATGAATGGCAGGACAGAATGGACAAATCCACTGAGAGATGCCAAAGCTCTGGGTTTGGTGTAGTTGATTTGATTGAAACAGCATGAAAAGTGAAATCCCCTGTTCTGCTTTTAGGCAAATACCTCATGAAGTGCAGGAAATAGAGGAAAGAGACAACGCAAAAGGCTACTGGAGTGGAAAGGCAGTTGTCAGAGGGGGTTTAATATTCAAATTAATTTGATTTTCTGGTTATTTTAATAACATCTGTAGAATGCCGTGAAGTGCCTGTCGTTGGCCAAGCAGCACACCCAGAATCTCACAGGTGATTACACAATTAATCAGCATTATTTGTACCTCAGAATGCACAATGAATGCTTCTCCATAATAAAAGTCCTGATGAGACCACCTTGAAAACTAATTTCTTTTTCTGCTTTTTGAAAAGGTCAGTCCACGTGAGATGAGGACAAATTACCGACTGCTGTAAATCAGAGTAGAGCCTTTAAAAGTGAAGCCACACCTGAGCCTGCGTCTCAGAAGTGACAATTTTTTTTAATCCTCGCAATGAATCCTGCCCACTGTGAACTCTGCCTAAATGCATTTATGTTTCTGGAATGTTCAATATCAATTCTTACCAAGCCAGAACTTTGACAAAGATGACTTTCAAAAGTTCTTTGTCCCTGGACTGTGGCCTTGCTTACTGAGCATCCAGTCACAGCACATTCTCATGAGTGACACATCCTTACACTTGCACTTCTACAAGTTGCTTGCTTGGCTGCCCAGAAAATGTATGAGAAACAAAAGAAGGTGCTGAGCCTGGGAAATGCTGCACTTGTGACCTAAAATGGCAGCTTTTTGCCTATCCCTGAGTATGTGACACAGTAAGACTTGCAGATATGTGTCACTTGTGGTGACATGAGCGCATGTAAAAGTTCATGAAATCTCTTCCCTAGCCTTCCATCTGATTAGTTAATTAGAGCATTGCTTTCACAGAGCCCTTTTGTGCTGAGTGCTCAGCACAGTCGTGGAGAATGGAGGGCTCTGCTCGGATCCATCTGCAACGGATGCAGCTCCTGGTGATGCCTGTGGGTGTTCTGTGTGCTGGAGAGTCTCAGGGTTGGGCACTGGGAATGCTCAGGCTCTGGGGAACTGGTTGCAGATCGATATTCTTGGGATGTCACTTAACTGATGCAAGTGGAACAATTGTAAGAAAGCAAATGATACATTAACAACATTAATGAGTTTAACCCACCAACCTGCCTCCTTAGGTGCTCTCTAGCCATAAAATACTCTGTTTTTCCAAGCCCTTCACTTTGAAAGACCAAGGTAATGCCCAAGTGAGAGATGTCCTTTGTGTGTTTCAGGCAGTGGAGAAGGTGTTTGCGGTGCCAAATGGATTTTACTGGCAGACAGTGGAAAGTGGTGACGAATACTTCCCTGCCAGCAGTGCCATGGAGGCCTGCAGAGATGCAGACACTGAGGTAAAGAACAGCAAGCACACCACTCCTTCCTGACTCGTGGGAGACACTGAGAGACAATGAGGTGACCTGGAATGTTTCAGTCTTGAGGTTGGGTATAAACGCTGGATCTTGAAGTATTTGTCCCTCAGACCTAAATGTATCAGCTGAGTGTTTCATGTCATCAGTATTGATGTGCTGATTGCTCTGAGCCACAGAAGATTAAACCTTGAAATCTCTGGGTTGAAGAAATTGCTGCCAACAGGATGCATATCAGTAACAGTAGACGAAATTTTGATAACCTGAAACCACTTGACTGTAAGCCAGGATACAGCACAGCTTTGATTAAACTTGGGCTTCGAAAAATTCAAGGAAATTTTCAGGTTCTGGTACTACCTGACTTACAGTAACTCTGTATGTTGTATGAACAAGTAGGAAGTAATTCTACTTATTTTACTCCAGGAGAAGGGAAAGTTAAGGTGACTTAAATTAGCTCATGTTTCTGTCTGTTTAGGAGTGCACATCAAAATGTATGGGACCTAATCCTGTGTAAAATAATTTGTAATGAGAAGAGCAGAGCAAGATCCAGCAGCAATAACCAGAGCCAGCCAAGAGTCATAGAACCACAGAATGGTTTGGGTTGGAAGGCACCTTAGAGGTGCCTCCTTCCTGTTAAGGGTGGGATGTCACAAGTTCATCCTGTTCTACCCCCTGCCATGGACAGGGACACCTTCCACCAGCCCAGGTTGCTCCAAGCCCCATCCAACCTGGCCTTGGACACTTCCAGGGATCCAGGGGCAGCCACAGCTTCTCTGGCCAACCTGTGCCAGGGCCTGACCACCCTCACAGCCAGCAACTCTTCCCAGCATCCCATCTAACCCTGCCCTCTGGCAGTGGGAAGCCATTCCCTGTGTCCTGTCCCTCCATCCCTTGTCCCCAGTCCCTCTCCAGCTCTCCTGGAGCCCCTTTAGGCCCTGCAAGGGGCTCTCAGGTCTCCCTGGAGCCTTCTCTTCTCCAGGTGAACCCCCCCAGCTCTCCCAGCCTGGCTCCAGAGCAGAGGGGCTCCAGCCCTTGGAACAACTCTCTGGCTTCCTCTGGACCTGTTCCAGCAGCTCAGAACCTTTCTTGTGTTGGTGGTCCCAGAGCTGGACACAGTGTCCAGGTGGAAAGCCACAGTGACAAGGTCAAGCCAGGAAATCCATGAGTTTGGACAGTGGCCAAAATTGGTGACGTCCAAGACTGGGCCAGGTCCACCTCAACAAAACTCTGACAGAGAGAAAAGCCAAGTGCCAGGCTCCTGAAAAGAGGGGAGATGGGCACTTCCCGAGGTTTCCTGGTGCTGGATGGCTGTGTTATCACAGCTGGCCCCAAGCCCAGGCAGCCAAGCTCCAGGGACTGTGAGCAGATACAGAAAACACTCCTTTACTGGCTGCTCTGAGCACTGGGTTAATATCTGGAAAGCTTGAGCTAAACAAACATAAAAAAATAGAGCTTTTATTCCTAATTAGCTCACTTTAATATGATTTGAGTAAATTTATATCTTCATTTAGCAGGCTGGTATAAGCCTCACAATGTCTTTATGGGGGAGCAGCATTTCATTTCCAGTGTCCAGTAGTGATGAATTCATTTGGCATTTGCTGCAGCCGTAAAACCTTGATCTGGGGAAATCCTTGTGCTGCATCCAGGAAAACTGTGCCCAAACTTGGGGCCAGCACAATCAGCTTGTCTGATCTACAGCTAGGCTGTTTGTTATCCACAGCACCACACAACTCCCTGTTTTTAAGCACTCGCTTTCTAAAACAGTTTGTTTCTCTGGTGGGATAGTAATAATAATTTGCTTCCCTTTGGGGTATAGACATTCAGAATGTGTTGGTGTGTGTCTTCCTACGTGCCAGAATGGGCTGAATTGGATTAGTCTGGTAGAGGAGAATTCAAAATGTAAATTTGGGAGAGTACCAGTCATGTGTTTGCCGTTTGATCCTTTTTTTTTTTTCTTTTTTGATGTTGATGACATCACTTTTATAAGTATAAAGAAACAACCAGTTAGTCTGTTATCATTTAATCCTCTAGAAAGATGGGCACGTGGTAGTGCACAGAGTTAAACAGCAGAGATGATGTGCTTTGGTCTCTGCCCCAGACACCTTGCAGGTTTACATGACAAAAGGCACAATTCTATCAACAGAAATAGATTAAATTATAATTGTCAGTGATAGTTGTGATTCAGCCCAAAGCTCAGAGCCTTCCTGTGACCTGCACACAAACATAACCCAAAACCAAGCCTCTCTGTAGCTCCTGCAGTGTAGGTCCCTCCTGGGAACCAAAAGTGAGCTGAAGGGATGCAGCTGGGAGGTTGCTGAAGGCTTTTAAGCATTTGCCCCATTTTTCCCACCGTGCTCCTTCTGCTCAGGTTGCCGTGGTGTTGCTGTTCGAGAGGCTCCTCCGACACCCCCTGGCAGCCCATCACCTGCTGCAGATGGTGCTCAGCTCCTGCCTGGATGTCTGTGGCCTCCGCCTGCTCTACCCCCCGCAGCACCTGCTGCTCTCGAGCTCAGGTGAACTCTGCTTCTCCTCCAGATCCTGGGATGGTGCTGAAGGGGTGACAAAGATCTGGAAATCCAGCGTGAAGGGTGATGTGGTGCTGTGGGCGTGGACAGAGGGGGTCAGGTTTGCTTTATCAGTCCCTATATCTTTCCCAAAGAAATGTGGGCTGTTTCTTTCCTTCTGTTCCCAGTGTTGAATATCCACGAGTTGAATTTTTAACCCTTGAGACTTTTTTGTTTCTCAGAATTTAGTTGTTCCTTTGCAGCAAGCTCTCTCAAACTGCACTGCTCTGAGCTCCAGGGTTAGACTCATGTCAGTTAAATATAATAATTTAGTTCCCCACTATGTTGCTGAAGGTTTTAGCTGCAGAAAATCCAGCCTTCCTCTTCCACAATTCCTCCATCTCGTTGCCGGTGGGACTTCACAAGCATGGGCAAAATACTGATCAAGCTGTCCTGTAATTGCATTGGCTGATAAAACATCAACAAAATGTCATATCGTTTAATAGAATCCCACAATAGAATCCCATCTGAGATGGGAGACCAACAAGATAAGGTGGATAAAAATGTTCTGTGTCTCTGAACTCAAATCACAAAGTTCTTAACATTAGACACCAGTGTGTCAGATATTGGCAGGTACTGCTCAAGTCTTTATTTTTTCCCATTTGAGAAACAGAGATGGTGAAACCTGTCTTAAAGCATTATGGGATGTTATTAGTTGCTAATGCAACGTAATTCCAGAGCAACAGGTGTTGCATTAGCTGCAGAGTTTAGAGATTGCCTCTGTAGTATAGCCTGGCTTGTGCTTTATTTTAAACCAGGCAGTTCTCCTGGAAGGGTTGTGGGTGACACCATCTCAAACAGACAATTCATTTCCCATGGGAAAGATAAAGGCAGGCTGAGAGGGGGGGAAATGGGTTTCCTTTTCCTCTGGCAGAAGGTGAGTGAAGAGCACCTTCAGCAGAGAAAATCCTCCAGTCTCCCTGCTCCTTTTTTGCATTTGGAAGCAGGAGGAGCAGACTGCCTTAGGAATGGGATTGCAGTTGTCTCAGGGCTGGGTAAGTAACACATTCCTGGTGATAGCTGGAGAAATGAAGAAGGACTCCAGCAATGAATAAGGAAACCATAAAATCACCAGTCATTAGGAGCTGACAGGCAGCAGATCTGCTTCAATGCTCTGTACCAGGCACTATTATTTAAGAACATTTTGTATGAAGAGACAATTCATTTGAGCTGAGAACTGCTGAGCGAGTTTGTAAATTAGATTTTTACGCATTTGAAAACATGAAAATTATTATTTTAAATATTTACAGCCAGGTGCTTCATTATCTACCTGCTCCGGAGGTAGATGATGTTCTGGCTTCTGATTCTTGTGCAAGAAATGACGTCTTGGAATGTGCTTTTAAACCTAAGGGAAGCCTTGCTGCTTTTTCCAACAGCTGCAGTAAGAACTGCAGAGCAGCCAAATGTGGTTTTTCTGGGGTTACCTCCTGGACCCCAGCTATACTGGGAGACATGGGAAAAGGTTTGCCAGAGACATGGGGAAGAGTTGATGCAGCTGATCTTACAGCATTGAACAAAATCTGTGTTTGAAGCAGAAGGAAATAATGTAGAAAAGAAGTCTTCAAATTTCTAGTTTGTGATCCCCTTCAAAACCATCCCTTTCCAGAGGCCCTTCTTCTTGTCCTGTCTCTGCTTGAATCCCCAGCCTTGCTTGTGGCTGTGAACAACAAACTGCACAGGAACCTAAAGCACTGAATTTGGGTTGGAAAAGACCTTAAAGCCTGTCTAGTTCCAACCCCCTGCCATGCACAGGGACACTTGCAGTGTGTCACCTGCTCTGTAATCACTGACCCTGTGCTCACACCTTTGCACAGCAAATATGAGGCAACCAACTGCTCTGCCTTTACCAGAGCACCTTGAGTAATCTCAGATTTAGGATGAGGTAAAAACATGCAGGTGCTGCCAGCATATGACCCACAGGGCAGCTTGCCAGGGGGTTCCTCTTTTGAGGTCTGGCTGTGATGGGGCACTTGGATGGGATGAACAACCTTGGGGCTGGTTGGTTGTTCCATGTTTTACTCACACTTCTGTTTGTCTCCACAGAAAAGCCGCCTTCTTCCTATACTTCAGAGCCTGGCAAGGTACCCCCAGTGCTGGCACTGTGTGTGAGAGGGCCTAAAGCACGTGGCACCTTGCAGGACATCGTGGGGCCATCTGACCCGCGGCTGGCCAGAGCGACAGACTGCGGTTCCATCAACGCCATCTACGGCGAGAGCCAAGAGGAGCCTCTCCTGTACTTGCCCTGCCTGGACAGCTGTGTGCACAGGGAGCTGTGCCTCTGGTTTGGAGGGAGGGCTGCTGGGATCCTGCACCTGCCTTCCAGGTGATGGGCTGGATGGTTTGGAAGTGTTTGTTCCCACAGGCAGTGTGTTCTTTACGTGTCAACCTTCTGCTAAAGGTCTGGGGAACAGGAGTGCGAGGTGGGAGGAATCCATCTACTTTTGCGTTTCCAAACCTATCTGCAAAAGTCCTCCTCTTTTCTGCACCAGATCATAGAGTCAAAGAATATCCTGAGTTGGGAGGGACCTATCAGGATCACTGAGTCCAACTCCTGGCCCAGCCCAGGACACCCCAACAATCCCACCCTGTCCCTGAGGGGTTGTCCAAACCCTCCTGGAGCTCTGGCAGCCTTGGGGCTGTGCCCACTGCCCTGGGGAGCCTGTTCAGTGCCAACCACCCTTTTCTCAGACCTTTTCCTGAGATCCATCCTAAACCTCACCTGACACAACTTCAGGCTGTTCCCACAGGTCCTACATGTGTCAGGTGTGGGACACTTGTGATTGCTTTCCATCCCCTGTTCCCTGGTAGCGAGGCTGGTAATTCAGGCACTTGCAGCAAGATTTGGAGACCTGGTGCTGAAGGAGGAGTGACCCTTTCCCAGGAAACCTGCTCCAGCTTTGCCCTGTGACCTTCTGGCTCTGCAACTCCCCGACAGGAGGGGGGAGCTGGGAGTGGGTCGGGCTCTGCTCCCCAGGATCAAGGGACAGGACAAGAGGAAACGGCCTCAAATTGTGCCAGGGGAGGTTCAGGTTGAATATTGGGGAAAATTTCTTCACTGAAAGGATGGTGGAACCCTGGCACAGCTGCCCAGGGCAGTGGTGGAGTCACTGCCCCAGAAGTGTTCAGAAAGAGAGTAGATGTGGCATTTCATAATACAGATCAGTGGGCATGGTGGGGTTCAATCAAAGTTTGGACTTGGTGATCTTGGAGATCTTTTGCAACCTTAATGATTCTATGATTCCATAATATCAAGCTGCAGCTCTCCTCTCCCTGGTGTCACCTCTGTGTGTCCCAGGCCTGTGTAAGCACATGGGATGCAGCCCCTGCACTGGAATTTGGGGCTCGTGAGCATCTCCTTTTAGCATTGCTGAAAAAATGATGCTGTGGTGAAACTGCTGCAGAAAGTTCAGACAAGGCCCTGTACCTGCAGGTTCTGGACAGGTTTTTGGGATCCTGGCTGCTCCTGGGGGCAGTGTGACACAGTGGCTGTGGTAGCAGGCTGAGGGGGAGATCAGCTGCAGTGCTGGCAGTGCTTTCTGCAGAGTGGCAAAGCTCAGCTATGTGGAACTAACTTGATGCCAGGGAGGGATTGTGTGTCAGAGTTGATGGCCTGCTTGGCCATCAACAGCCACTCTCAGAATTTTTATTTTTAAGATGGAGGAAAAAAAAACCAATGTGGCAAAACTTTAAAATTTAATTCTATTTATTATTTTATATATGTACGTATTTATTTATTATTATTCTATACTATTATATAAATTTATTAATCATAATTCATATTAGAGCATAGTATATGCATTTATGTGTAAACATAAATATGTAATTTCTCTTTATAAATTTATAATTTACAATTAAAGATTGTACCTTATACATTTACTAGAAATATATAAATATACATTATTATTATATCACTTATTTAGTATATATTATTATTTAGTTTATTTATTATTTTATTTGGTTTGTTTGTTTATTTTTCCTCTCACAAAGATGATGAGTTCTGCTCCTGTGGTAGAACTTCGTCTGGAGCAGCACTACATCCTAAATAATACACTTGTCTTTCTCCTAACACTGGTAATTTGGCCCACTGGGAGACAGGAACACAAACTGCAGCTCAGATGGCCCTTTGCAGATTATTCTTGCAGATGCCGTGGGCTCCTGGCAGTGAGCGAGCAGGAGGTGTTCCAGTGAGCCGGAGACAATTCCAGCCAGCTCGGAAGGGCTGAGGCAGCTTTGCCTGAGCAGCCTGTGCTCACAGTCCCAACCAAACAGTTCCCAGACAGTCCCTGCCTTCCAAACCACACCTTCTGTTCGCCCTGCCCCGATCTGGGCCTTGTGGGTTATGCAGGAAAGTTGCAGAGGTTCCACTGGCACATCTCTGCCAGGCTCCATCGTGCTTGTTGCCTAACATGAACCTTCCCAACTGCTTAAACTCAGGCTAAAGAACCCAGCGTGAATAGCAACTCTGATGTGTCTGTGGGAGGGAATAGCTCTGCTAGTGCAGCCTGACATGTTTCTTGATTCCCAGATTTCTTTGCCAAGCTGGCTACTTTGCATTAGCTGCTTTTAATTGAACACAGAGAAGCTCAGGGGGAGTAATATCAAAAGATGTTCAGCCAGAGGGACCTCAGTGCAGCTCGTGTCAGGGACAAGGGATTGAAATGGCTTTTTCAGTAAAACAGTTTTACCAGAGAAGCTTCTGTGGCCCTGGATTTGCTGCAGAAAGTAGATTTTAGTCAGAATCTGGTGTAACAGCTTTTAATATTTATCATTTTTCTGTAGCTGTCAGGGTCTTTCGTCAACTGGGACAGAAGCAGATGAAGAAAAGATTGATCTCCAGAGCACGATGCTGCCTCAACATCCAGCCATGCTTGTCTCAACTACCAAAGGTCAGTGTTAGATTCATCTGGAGGTTTTATGGTTCTTCTTCACTGATAATATCATTTTACTCCAACCCACCTGTCTCAGGAAATTCTGCTTCCCTGGATTGCTCAGGGCTGTGACCTGGCCAGTTCTAGAGCCAGGAATGAATTTCTAGTGGAACATTTTTCCTGTGATGAAATGGCAGAGAATTGTTGCACATCAGATGTCACTGAAGGGGGAGGAAAAAAGAAACAAAAAAAACCATACACAGGAAATCTCTGCACAGAGGGGCTTGTTCATCAGAGAAATATAGTGAAGGCCTAACAGAATCCTTTAATTGCTTGTTTATCTGATCAGAGATCATCTGCCTCTTCTGGTGAAGAGCTGAATATAATCATCAGGGTAATTCAATGGTGGAGGCTTCGTCCAGGGCAGGATTGACCACACAGTCAGAAAGGGGAGCACTGCATGAAGCTGGTTCCACTCAAATACCCCTGTTCCCTTTGCAGGAGTTTCCTTTGGCTGCTGAAATGGTCCCTAACTAGCAGCAGGCTGTGTGCAAGGGACACCTGTCAAGGCCTCACCTGGCTAAGGAGGATCCCTTTGGTGTTGGGGCACCTGCTGTAAAGGCCAGTGTGCTGACACATCTCTGCAGTGGGGCCTGGCACAGCAGATCTGGGGTGCAAGGGCTTTTTGGGCAATGTTTAGAGCACTGGTGGCTGCTTTCTGCTCCCACAGCTGATAGTTTCACAGGAATGGAACCTGAGGGGGGCAGAAGGTCAGCAGCTGTCAGGGAGAAAGTGGCAGAAGGGAAGAAGGATTGAAATGACGTAGGAAGAAAGCATGGGAAATTACACTGCCCAAGTTAAAAACTCCAGGAGAAAAGGAGGAGAGCATAAGGCAACAAAGATGAAAGGAACAGAAAGTGGCAGAGGGTGACAGGAGGAAAACTGAGAAGGGAGAAAGCAAAAAAACAAGTCTCAGTTTTGAAATACTCTTTGGTACAACGGCGCATGTTAATGCAGGTAGCTTGGCAGCCAGCCATTGGCTCTGTTATTTGGGATTGGGATTGATGGCAGCTGGTGGCTACTGATGGAATGAGTCACATTTTCTGCCTCCCCTTCCTTTTATGGCCATTAATGATTCACAGTTGCTGTGGGCTGCTGAGTTATACCACGCCACGTTCCATGTATATTTGGGCTCAGGAAGTCACTGTGGAGCTTCATTCCTAAGATAGCTGGATCATGGCTCTCGGAAGGGAAGCTGAAAATCTGGCCTGGGAGCAGACACTCCGTGGGGCTTAAAGGAAAGGAAACATTCACTAACTCCTTCCCTCAGGGTTCCAGCAGCTTCTCTTGCAGACAGGAATATTTACCCATGCAGAGCGGATGTACCGCATCTCCCACCAGGTAGATCTGCCCCTTCTCAATAATCCCAAGTTTTAGTCACCCTAGCTGGTATTTTGGTTGATTTGAGGTTTTTATATGCAAGAAATGATTTTTTAGAAGTATTGTCAACTAGAAAAAACCCAAAATTTTACCACCCACAACCCTGTATTTTGACAGTTCCCATATAATGAATGTCTTGCTTAAAGTCAGTGTTAAAGCCAAGTAGAAATTTTAGGCAAAGAAACACCCTGCCTGTCCTGTCCTTAGTGCCAAACACAAGGTTTCTCTTGTTTTGGTGCTGTTGCTTTGAACTACCAGGCTGAGCCTTGGTCAGATTCTTGGGAGGATGATTATTCATACCACAAAGTCTAGAATAAAAAGAAATAGTCACTGTCCTATCCCCCAAACCAAGAGTAATTAGGACACAGAGACTGAAATCTTCCAATCTCATATCACTTAATTAGAGTTAAGAGAAATTAATGGGGCAGTGTAGAGGAAACCCATGTAGAGGTGGCACTGAGGCTTTGTCCTCAGAGGTCACTCTTGGCAGGTTATGGAGATCTTGAGTGTACACTGTGAGGGATAAAAAGCTGTGTTAGAACTAGGAAGGTGTGATGATGAAGGTGATGGGAAAAACAGCCAAAATAAGATTAGAACAAAGCAAAGACCTCAGGTAGATCAGAAACTTCAGGGAAAAGTCTTTTGTCTTGTAGTGCCTAAGATGGGGCTTAGAGTGCTTGGGAGGTCTTGTAGTCTCTTTTTCCTGGTCTTGCTCATAGCATGTGGATTTAATTCACAAAACAGGAGTCTAAAACCCAAGGTCCTAACCAATGTAACCTTATCTACTGGGGTGAGGGGTACAAGGAGAGCTCAAGCAGCCAGACCCAGTGGATGAGGATCAGGTAGGGCAGAGCAGGCTGGTACCACCATCACGATGACCAAGGAACCTCTGAGGCCCCAGATGGTTCCAACCAAAGAGTGAGGTGAAATCATGATCACAGGCTGGTCCAGAGCTTCAGGACACTGTATCACAAGGCAGGTTCTGGGATGGAGGTTAGAGACAGGAATAAAGGAGGAACAAGAGGAAGCAGAAGGTGGTGCTGAGCGGGATTGCAGAAGCAGCTACAGGCTGGGACCACCAGTAACAGCAGAGAGGAATGGCTGGGGCTGCTCAGTGCACTTTGTACTGGAGAAATTGTTCAAGAACAAGCTGTTCTTGTTGACTTTGGTTACTCCTCATGTGACCAGGCTTATCAAGCCCCCAGTCCTTGAGGAGCCCTGGTGCTGTTGGGAAGCTGTAGAGTGACAGCTCCCTGTCACAGGGCTGACACACTGCCTGCACGTGAGCTGAGCCACGAACCTCCCAGACCTGAGGAGACAGGCTGTCTGCAGTGTATGATTCATAAAGAAATTACTGATGATGCCAGAAACTTTTCCATCCTAGGGTGGCCCTGGATTGCAGTCATTCTGAGCTGGATACAGCAAATAAACTGTAAAACACGATGTCACCATTTGGGATGTGCTTCAAGCTGGAAGCACCCACTGTGAGAGCTGCCTTGCATTATTGGCACCACAGCTTCTGTGACGATAACACGCTGCTTTCCTTACCCTCTTTTTGATCTAGGGGATGTCATTTTGATGGTGTCGCCTGTGATACCTCCTTGTGCCTATGGAAATGTGATTTCTGTCTGCGCTCGCCGGGGGTTTGTTCTGCAGGGGCTCAAACAGCTGCAGCTCCCACCCGAGCACGGCCTCGTGCTGAGCATGACAACAAGGCAGGTACTGGACAAAGCACAGCCAGTTGTATACCCTCTTACCCCTTGGTCTGCTACTGATCATGCCAACACTCCTCTAGTAAGTGCTCTGAGGACACTCATTCCCTCTTTTCCAGCCAGCCAGCACTCGTGTCCTCCCCGTTCCTGGCAGTGGCACTTGGGTTGCTTTCTGTGCTGGCTTTTGTCTAGTAGGAAAATCCCACCATTGGCCTCTCACTAGGAACAGGAGTGTAAATTCATCATTGGGCCTCCTCCTACTAAAATAAATATGAATTTTACCACTGATCTCAGAAAAGCAAGTAGCCCCATGAACCAAAATAACACTCTCTGATCTGCAAAGGTGTGTTCAGGAGAACAGTCTTCACTAACAGACTGATGTTTGGTGCTGTACTTCACAGTCCATCTGGGCCTTTCAGCAGGAAGTCCCCTAGTTCAATGCACTCCAAATGGGTTGCAAAAGGAGCTTTCCTGTTAGCAAAACTAACTTTTTTTTTTTTCTTTGAACCTCTTTCTAACGTGGTGATAGATTTGACTTAAAATGCAGTTGGCATTTTGACAAGTCAGCCTAAGGAAACAGCAGTAATCATAAATGCAAGATTGCAGTCAAACTTAACATATGCAAGTAGTCCAGTGCTGCACTTTGTACATTATAAATCACACAGGAATCTTGTGGCAGCTTCTCTCACAAAGGAGCAGATCCCTGACTTCAAATTATCATGCTGAGTGTTGCTTGCTGTGTCAGTCAGGAAACACATCATTTTGCAAATTAAACTGTACAAATCCCCTCTTTTCTGCTTAAGCCTAAGGAATAGTAATGTCCCTGGCCATGATATTTTTTAGAATGAATATAACCTATTTATGGAATACTACAGACCAAATAACCAGATGTTTGCAGCAATGATCCTGAATGGCCATTAAGAAGTAAACAGCAGCACCTGTTGCTCCAATGTGCTGTTTGGAGCTAAAATTTCTGAAAATCATCCCTTCTTTTGGGACCCAAGATCATTTTTGTACGAGTGACTTGAAGTGGTTCCACATTTCAGCTCCATTGCCACTGTTGTGGCTTTGGCCCAGCCCAGTTGCAGGGCAGAATGTTTTTTATGTAAAGCCTCTTCCCCGAGGTTTAAATGAAGTTTCTCTGTCTCAGGGAGAGGTAATGCATGAACACTTAGATACTGAAAATTCCTACTCCTCAGTGTTGAGCTGTATCTTGTTATGCCATCACAATTTATCTATTGGCTCAAGCACCACAGTAATTACACCTGGATTTAGCAGTCTAACTTGCCCTCATTATTTCAGATTGCTGTCTTTTGCCCTGGAAAGAGTTCAAGCTCCCCTGATAGTCCTGCGAGGGGAGAACTCCCAGCTGGACCACGGAGGCACTGCCTCGTTCTGCTGCTGAGGAAGGAGAATGCAAGTCATCACATTCCTGCCCTGGTGAAAGGTAATGCCTTCCCTGCTCAGCAACCTGAGGGAAGGAGGTTTGCACTTCTGTGTGGGAGCTAAACATCAGCAGTCTGACCACAGCTGTTACAGGGCAGGGAATAGTTATGGAGAATATCAGGGCCTGCTGGTTTTCTGTACGCTCCCCCAGCCCAAGGTGTGAATCAGTCACTACTACACATTCAGCAGAGCAGGCTGATCTTTGCCAGGGGTTTGATCTTTAGCACTGGAGTTCCTTTTGAATTTGGAATCACTGAGTAGTTCCTTTTGGAAAGGACCTCAGAAGGTCTCTTCCAACTTCCTGCTCAGTACAGCATCAGCAGTGAATTCCAATCAGGATGCTCGGGGGGTTTTCCAGTCAGGTCTTGAAAATCTGAAAGGCTCCTCTACCTCTCTGGGACTTTTTTCCAATGCTGGACCATCCTTATGGGAACTGTTTTTTACTTTGTGTCAAGTTGGAGCCTCCCCTACTTGAATTTGTGAGCCTTGTCTCTGCACAGCTCCGTACTGGGCTGACTTCGTCATCTCACACACACAGCACGTGGTGTGGGATTCTGGATGTGCAGTGCCAGGAGTTGGACTTCCAGGAGTTGGACTTTGATGATTCTTGTGGGCCCCTTCCAGCTCAGGACTTTCTATGATTATATGACCTCAATAACCTCCTCTCAGATATTCTTGCTGGTTGAAGATAGGATAGCCAAAATGCAGATGTGCCACTGAGCCTGAGGGCATCATCTGATCCCACCAACACCAGCTCCAAGTCCTGTGTACTTGTGACTTCCAAGGACCTGGAAAGTTACTCACTTTGTATTTAGGGACTGCCAAAAACAGGCAAGTTTTGCTGCCCCAAATCTTCTTACTTGAATGAAACTGTGCTGAGGCTCTGGTTCAGGAAAAACATGATTTGGTTTTCTTAAGGATGAGTTGACATTGGTGTCAAGTGGGGAAGATCAGAGTGATCAGGAGGGAACAAAAATCCTGCCCTGCCCGGCTCTTCCCAAAAGGGGGTCCCTGTGATTGACCCCTCCATTAAGACCACCACAAATAGCCCATGATGAGGACATTCACCCACAGCCCAGACACTGTCCATTTTAGAGGTTTGGGAAAAAATGACAATTCAAAAAGTCCTGGTCTTTTTCTCCTGAGACCATCACAGGCTGTTCTGAAAACATGTGCAGACACAAAGGATTAATCATGGCAGACTAATTAGAACCCCATGTCACCTGCTGCCTCTACACCCAAAGGAAGTTGCTTATTAAAAAGTGCAGTTTCTGCTCCTTTTCTCAGTGCCACAGGGGATGTTTACAGTGTTCATGTTTTGCACAGGGAAATTTCCACTGGCAATGTATAGGTGGGACTGGAACAAAGCATAGCCTGGAGAGGTAAAATGTTTTTCCTCGTTTGTAGAGAACTCAGGGTTTTTTTCCTTTGTTTCAAGACAGATTTTGCAAATGCCTCTTTCTACATGTTCTGTTCTCTTTGCTTCATTCCTGTGCTTCAGAACTGGCCCAGAGAGTTACCTTAGTCCATGTTCCAGAGCCCTGGAGATGGCAAGCTAACAATCTTACCACACAAGCTTTGGTTTGGCCTCTGGCAAGTGAAGAATAGCACTGACATTTGAGTAGGATAATCACCTCACTAAGAAGTTTTGCATTTATAATCAGTACCCCTGAAATGCGGGGGTACCCCTTTTAGAACACTGTTTAATTTTCAAAGCAAGGAAAAGCTCGACAATTACTCCTGACATAGAGCAGATAAATAGGTGGGTTTGGGTAAGGATCTCTGTCTTGGGGATCAAACACCATATATTTATGTCCAAGCTTTACTTTTTGCCATGCCCTGAGTTTCAAAAAACAGCAAGTAATGCTGTGACGGGGATGGCACATTTTTGGTTCCTCGTGCCTGCTGAATTTTGAGAAGCAGAGAGGTGATTGTCTGTGGTACATCTGACACCTGAGCTTTGCCATCCACCTCTAGCACCAATAATGCATTTCTCACGTTCCAGCAGAGTGAATTTTTGACAGCCTCGCACGGTAGAAAGCAATCAAATGTGTACAAAGTAATTTGAAAAATAACAAGCCTTTAAAACTGTGGCCTGAAATATTATTACAGAAGGCTGAACTAATTGTTGTGGAAGTGTAGCACATGCCAGCCCCTTAATGCACTGCCTGTGTGCAGCCCAGCTCTTTGGAGCAGCAACGAAGCTGAGAGAGATTACTGGGTTTAAGCACCCAGTGTGTGTGAAAGTGGTGTGGAATCAGATATTTTCCAGGCTGGGAGTTACACGAGCAGAACACAATGTCCCTGTTCAGGTCTGAAACCTCAGTGTTCACGTGGGGTGACGATTTCCCAGGTAGCCCATTTTTTCTTTTTGATGTAATGTTATTTCCTAGCCTTTGTATCTTGTGGGTTTTCCCATTATGTTCCTATATCTGCATTACAGTCCATTCTGGATGGGTGGTGGTGAAGCAGCTTTGGAACCTGTCTAGTGAAAAAAATCAGTGTGAAGTCAGAACATTTGTCTCTGTGTGGGATGCAGGATGTTGGCCTCGTGCCTTGGGGTGTAAGACACCTTGAGGGCTTCCACGTGAGTCATTTGTGACTCTTCCTAGTGGACACCAACTTATTTAAGATATTTATTCTAATTCAGCTGTGGCAGAGTCCGTGCATTTGTTGCATGCTGACAGCAGGAGTTAGAAGGTGATAGAAAAAACTGGGGTGCTGCTCCCAAAGCAGAGTGTCTCCAGAGAAAGCTGTGGCCCAGCCTCAAATTTCAACAACTAATTGCCCCAATTAAGTGATTAATATGATTTGGGGTTGAGGAGATGTTTAAGTTGCATTTCATGTCTCGGGTAAGCTCGGTGTGACCCCCCTCTGTAATGGAGCTGTGCTCATGTGAATCAAACATTTGATAGCAGAGTGTTGTCACGTCAGAGCTCTGTATCCCTCATGTTTGCTGCTGTTCCCTGCACAGGGCTGATGGATGAGCTGGCAAAGCCAGGCCTTGGCAGTGGGCAGAGCAGCCCCCCTGCCAGGGCTGGCCTGGATGCCTCTGTCTGCTTCCACGTGATTCCATATGGAGAGACCTCGCTGCAGACCCTGGGTAGGTCAGAGCTGGGGGAAATGCACTGTCCTGACTTTCCTTGGATCACAGACTCAGAGAATGGGTTGGAAGGGACCTTGGAGACCACCCCGTTCCACCCCCTGCCATGGGCAGGGGCACCTTCTACTAGACCAGGCTGCAGCCACGTAAGGTGTTACAACCTTATTAAGGGATTTTCCTGCATAAACCCATTAGGAATATGCTTTTTGTCTGTGATAGCTCATTTACTGTTCTGCTGTCCATCAATCATGGCAATGCTCACTGGCTGCATTCTGCTGCTGGGTAATGAGTGGGGGAATCAATAGAAAAGCAAAATGAAAATTCTTTTCGAGTTAATTAAAAAGACACGCAAAAAGAAATTATTTAAATGTGACTTGATAACATACAATTAAGCCTTGATTAATATATTTAATTAAAAGATTAATATCCAGTCAATAGATATTTATTGCCATAGTTTCAAGAGAAGTCAAAATATTAAAATCAGATAAATCAGTGGTTGTGTGTAACATTGGAATGTGCTGAAGTGATAAATGCTGGCAACTCTGGTTCTTCTGTAGGTACAGAAAAGGCTCTTTTCAATTTCATTGTACTCAGATATTCCTAATTTCAGTTTATACAGTTGAATTCACTTTGGTAACTCATTCATTGAAAGCTGAGAAATTGATAGGATTTGAAACATCAGGGAAATGAGTTTTCTGCTTTAAAGCTGGGTGGGAGAGGCTTAAACCTACTAGTTCTGTACATGTGAAGCTCCTGCTAACCAGGTGTTTATTTCACTAACTACAGGTTTCTTGCATGTTAAGCAGATTAATATAGTTTTATTTAATTAAATTATTTGAATTTTTGGATGCCAGGACTTTTTAGTTGAAATATGTTACTTTCCAAAACTGAATTTGTGCTAAATCATAAGGAAAAATAATCATGAAATGCACGTTATTCACCATTCTCTAGCATTGTGAAATGTTAAGGTATAGGAATAACTAAGTAAATAAATGTTTATCAATACAATTTTTTAATAATTATGTAGTGAAATAGTATGGAATGAAACACAGGCTTACACCATTCCCAACAGGATCATGGATACAAGCAGGGTGTTGTAGCAGCCCCAGATTAGCTCTCAGTTGTGTACCTTGTAATCTCCTAGAAAGCCAAATGAGGTGTCGATTTCATGTGAAGTCAGTCATCAGTTATCAATCCAAAACTGATGCCTTAAATCACTTTGGTGTAGATCTGTCAACTCTGCTTAAGGATGGGAAGCAGGATATCGAAATTACATGTTAATGTATTTGCTTTCCATGACAAAATGTAATTCCAGGGAAGGAGTGGGACTAATTAGAGGGGGTTTGCTGGGATAACACTGCTCATCCAGGACCCTTTCCCTGGCCATGCTGAGCTGCAGCCTGAGGAGACAGTGAAACACTGGCCATTGCTTTGTTGGGAATCAGTTCCTCCACAGTTAAAAAAGACCTGAGATTTGTTGCTGTGGGGTAACAGTTTTGGTTTTGATGATCTCCCTGGACAGGAGGAAACCTCAGCTCAGTTCCAGAGCCCCACAACATTCCTCTGGATTTTTTCTGCCACCGAACATTCGCTGCTGATCCTGGGATGGAGCAGGTCGTGGTGCTGACAGTGGTTGGAATGGAGACCATGAAAAGCGCTGGAGAGCTCCTTCACCAGATCCTGTGTCCTGGGCTGACCAATCCATCTCGGAGTGCAGGTGATCCCAGCTCTTGGGGAGGGCTGGAGAGCTTGGTCAGGAAAGTTTATCCTGGCCAGCTGTTTTTATCATAGCAGGAACATCATGGGAAATGGGGTAAGTGGAAGGAGGACAGGTTTCTTTGTTCACCTGCCTAAAGAGCTGAAGAATTTGTCACGACTTGTTATGGGCAAGGCCACATTTCATACCACAAACAGCTCAGGTGGCCATCATTGTCTTCAGAGAGGGTCAAATTAGTTTAAAGTTTTGCTTAGAATTACTAAGCTTATATGTAATTCAGAGCATTATATCTCTCCCTAAGCACTGGGAGATCAGGCAACTGTAACTGGGGCACAGCAACAGGAATTTGGAAGTCACAGCCTCTGTTCTATCCTCTGACATCCTTCGTGAGCAGAACCAAGACACTTCACTGCTTCACGCTTCGGTTCTTCCTGCACAGGAGGAAAACCGATGCCATCCCCGTGTTAAATGCTCACACATGCATGAAGAGGGCTGTCAAGCCCTAGGCAGGATGATGATTTTATGTAATTTCATGATGTAGGTTGCACTGAAGTGTGATAATACAGGAAGTGTATGCACAAGGGGCAGAAGTCTGGCCCTGTATTATACTGTGTTGCATCCTACTCTCCTAAAACTGTGTTGCAATACTACTTGAAATACTACTAAGTAAGTTCTGTACATGAGATCCCAGCTGACAGAAACTTCCAGCACTCATGGATTGAGTCCCTAAATATTTTGCTACACTGCAGTAAGGCTACTTTACAAACACAACAACATTTAAACTAGAGACAAGTCAGCATTCTGTTGTAGTTTATTGCTATAATGAACGTTGCTTGAAGCGGAATGTTATGAGGGGTGCTAAAGGATCTATAATTATGGGTTATGCTGTGCCAAGCCACATTGTTGTCAGTGTATTTGCAGTGATTCCCTTTCAGCTCCTCTCCACTGGCTGTGCTCTCTAATCTAAATCATGGCACTTGCTCCCTGTGGCTCCCTGATGATTTCCCAGATAGCCCATTTTTAATTTTCAGTGTAATGTTATTTCCTAGCCTTTGTGGGTTTTCCCAATATGTTCCTATATCTACATTACAGTCTATTCTGGATGGGTGGTGGTGAAGCAGCTTTGGAACTTGTCTAGTGAAAAAAATCAGTGTGAAATCAGAACATTTGTCTCCAAAAGCAAACACAGCTCCTGTGAAACACTTGCTGCTGGCTGATGCTGAGCACTTTTCTCTTGACTTGCAGAAGAGCCTGATTCAGGATTGGAGCTGCTGGGCCTGAAGTGGTTGCCCCACCTGACTCGACGTCAGGCCAGAGAAATAACCCCTTTTGAGGCTGGAGATACTCACTGGCAAAGGAGCCTGGACACGCTGATGTCCAACCCCGTCCTCGTGTGCGTGTTCCGGGGCATCGACGCCTACGACGCTCTGGCAGGTGTAGTGGAGGGATTTACACAGTGCAGGGAGAAGCTCACCACGGGTGGAAGTCTCCCAGGGGCAGTAATGGCCTTGACTCCAGAGGTGACATTCAGACAAGCTGTCCTCTTCTTCACAGAGGCTGATTTTGTAGCTGGTAAGATGTTGTCACTAGCTGTATTATCCTCGGGGATAAGGTGGTTGGGAATTGATTGTACTTGGGCAAAGGAATCCAGTGCTGTGGGTTTTCTCAGGCACAGAAAAACTTAACAACTGGGGGCTAAATTCTGTGCTTGGCTGAGTTATGATGAAGGCTATGAAATCATCAGCAGCCAGCTGAGGGCATCTGTCAGTTGGCTGATGAAATTAATGTGGCTCTGCTTGGCCTGGTGCCCTTTCCGAAGATCTCGAGGTGCTCCATAAGTACTGAATAGATATCAGAGGAGTTGGCAGGACCAGTAAATAACACCCTGCATTTTACATTTCTGTAGAAGAGAAACTGAAGAACAGGGCCAAGATCTCTTCCACCTAAAGCAGACACCTGGCTGTGGTGCCACCCTGGTTGGGGCTTGATGCCTCGGCCTTACCCTGTACTCAGGGAGATGAAGGTGTGACCAATCTGCAGGAGCTGAAGAAAGCAGATTTCTTGAGGGTTTTTTTTAATCCTGGAAGAGCATGAACAGAGGAATGGAGATCTTTGTTGTCAAAAGCTTCTCAGGCTCCAGTGATATGTGCCAGCATCAATCTTTCAGCACAGTAGACTTGCTCCTGTACCAGGAGTTGTACAGCCATGCCTCTTAAAACTAAATCACTGTGCAGACTGTGGGGTTTTTGGCACTGGATGTCCTGGAGCAGCAAACTACAAGCTCTCACTCTTTTCATGTGAAATATTTTGCCATGTCACCTCTGTTTTTGGGCTGCCTGACTCCTCCCACCCAGAGATAAACACCTCTGAGCCTGTCAACTTCTGAAGGTGTCCCTGCCCATGGCAGGGGGTTGGAACGAGATGGGCTTTAAGGTTCTTTCCAACCCAAAGCATTCTGTGGTTCTGTGATTAGTCAGAAGCAGAGAGAAATCAAGGTTGTGGTAACACCACGTGTCAGCTGAGGAGCAGTGACGCAGTTCCAGAAGTGCATCCGTGCTTTGAATTTATAGCTCTTCCTTTATCTTTCCTTGGGGAAGAAAGGTCCTTTGTTGTCAACACACACTTAGACACTCAGTGTCAAACACTCTGTGCCTGTGTAGTGTGGAGTAACAAATTGGCTTTAGTGAATAGAAAGAAGAAAATGTGATTTGTCTGGGAAAAGATCCCCAGCTTAGTCTCATAGAAACTTGTCAGTGAACTATGTGGGAGTTCTGTGTGAGATTGGTGAGCAAGAAGAGGAGACGTTCAGAAATGGAGGCCTCAGACATCCCAAATTAGTGTATGCAAGAATTCATGCATTGCAGCCCTTGATTAAAGTCATCTTGAGATGAAAAGGCAGCGTAAGAGGGAAGCAGAGCTGTGAGCTCAGTTTACTGAGGGAGGTTGTAATGGCAGTGCCAGCCTTTCCCACCAAAGCCATTGTCAGGAACAAAGGAGCACAGCTCAGGCATGACTTCAGCACCCTGCACTATCTCTTTTACAGGATCATTTCATCTTTCCTCTTGTTTTGTTGTTGTGGGAGGAATGGAGAGGCCTTTGTGCTAGAGAACAGCTCTTTAATATTTCTGTAACAGGTCAAATGTCTGCCATTTCCCCTGCTACATAAACTCACCTTTGTCACCCCTTACCCCCAGACAGTGAAGGTTTCCCCTCTGTCAATCCATAAAACTATATCTCCTTCCTTTCCCAGATGAAGAGCACCGCCCTGCTATGAAATACCTGCCACCACCTGGCAGCAGGTCCAGGGCTGAAGGTAAGACCAGAAATATGGACCTCCAACCAAAAGCTGCCTCTTGGATATGAGCAAGTTATCTTATACTCTAAAATAGATTGAAGGAAACTATAATTATCCTCTGCCAGAGCCATTAAAAGGGGATTGGTAAACCTTTGGTTAGACATCCTAATCCCAGGAAATTAGGGATAGATGGGTCCACTTGGTGCTGGGGGAAGGTGGACTGCTAGATCACCTTTCTCCTGTGCAGTTCTGAGAGTGATCTGTCCAGGGTTGCTGTGGAAATTAGGCTGGAAGAGTAGTTCATGCCTGCTTTTTAACAGCCCTTTTCAGATGTTGATCTCAAAAAAGATGAGTTGCATTTTGTTTTGGAGAGGTGGAATGCCTTGATCACCATTGCCCAAGTGGGTGACCAATCAGAGCAGAATGGGCATTCCCTGTCATTTATGTCACAGTGCTACCCATGTCACCATGGAACTCACAGATCCTTTCAGATAACCCCAATACGGAAGGAAAAACTTGGTACTGTGAGGATGTGAGCTAAAAAATTATGAGGCAAGGACCTGGGAGCTGATTCCACATATTGGTGCTCTTACTATTCCAGCAAAATAAACAACAAACATGTGGAAAGAGAAAGAGGTTTCATAAGAAGAAGAACGCTTTGGCTAGATACCTTTCAGATACCTGGGAAATAGAAATAGATGGATTTTGGACAGTAATAAATACCCCAAAAATGGTAATTTTGTTTTGATGAACAAAGTGTAGTTTTCTGTTGTCTCACTGGTTAAACTTGCCAGCCATTGGCAAAGGAAGTCTTTTATTAATCTGATGCAGGATTCTCCTCATTGTGCCCTAGATCTAGATGATTTCTCACTTCACATGAAGTGCCTTAATTTTCCTCACCTCTCCAGGTCCCTGCAGATTTCACATTAGACTGAAGGAAACATTTTTCTCTAGGCTTTTGTCCTAAGTTGTGACTCCCCAGATCCTTTCACGCTGCTCTGCTCTCCTGAAGAACCACTGGAGCAGCCATTCCTGGTGTTTGGGGAGTGTCAGGGAGGTTTTATCAGCAGAGCTGGGCTCAGTACTCAGAATCCACAGCACTTCTTGGCTTCCAAGAGCACAGGAGAGGACACCAAACACAACACCTGAGCTTCTGGGATTTCCACTGGAAACAAAGTTTCTAACTCGACTGTGGAATACTGGGAGCACAAAAGTGGCTTAAACCCACTGTTAGCCACTCCCTGAGATCACAGAAAAGGTACCCAAGAACACACATGACTTGTAGTTGCAGTCTCATTCAGCATGTGCTCGTGGGCTTAGGGAAGAAGGGTGGAAATGGGACATTGAAATCAAGCCATGCACGTCCCTCTCTAACACTTTTGGCTGCACTGTGTAGAAATGATGGCAACATCCTCCAGATACCCTCCAGGAACACACACACCACTCACTCCAACCTCTCTGCTTCTCTTTTTCAGTGGGTGAGGGCTGGAGGTGCCGTGCAGAATCCCTCTTTACCTACTTGCACACAGGTGAGAGAAGAGCTGATGGAAAAACGGCCTTGGATAAGGATTTGGTTGGAACTAACTCATCCAGGTGTACCAGCCCAAAACAAGCTACAGGATTATACCAACATTTTCCTGAGACTGGAATACAGGCAGTGATAACCTCCCTTTCCTAAGCATGCCAGGAAATCTGGTATCTGCTCCTCTCGAGTTTACACTTATTTGAAGTCACACACCTGTCCAAAGTATTGTATATAAATAGAATATAAGATAAACAGTATTTCTGATATGAAATGAAAACCTATGTAATAATTTTTTTTGGGGGGGGGGGGAATCAATGGCTCTGAGGAATGGATCTAAAAATTATTATTATTAGTATTAAAAAGTAGAAAAATGTAATAAAGACCAGGAAAGCGGGATGGCCACTGAACAGCCAGAAGTGGACATAGAAACCAGGCAGGTTCTAGGGCTGCCAAACAGGTACCTCTGGTAATTCCTGAGCAGCAGAAATCGTTGCAGTAGTTAGTGGTGCTTTGTCTAACTCTTGTCACTGAGAATCACTGAGGAGAGGAAGCCAGCCCTCAGTGACAAAGTGTCCCACCCGTTTTCAACACTTGCCTTTGACCAAACCAAGCTGGCAAAGTGACACAGTGAGACAAATCCCTCCTGAGGCACCTCAAGGCCATAAATATGCAGCAGGTAGTGAGTCACATAAGCAGGAGAATGAGAATATTTGCCCAAAAAATGTAGCAGATGGTGAGTAAAACATCTGGAGGCCAATGAGCACTGACAGAACATCGAGATAGCCGAGGTGGATACGAGCAGGTTGGTAGATCGGAGCAGCTTCCTCCACTTGCAGGCTGTTGCTATGGCATTTATACCTGTCTGTTCAAGAAGGGTGTGAAGAAAAGAGCACATCTCTACTAGGAGGGCTCCCTGCACGGCAAGGGTTAGGTTTCCATCTCAAGTGGGAAGGCAGGAATCTTGGTTTTTGTTCTTAATCCTGTGTTTCCCTGCCATGGATCTTGTTTCTTGCCGCCTGAAAACAACAACATTTAATTACAGGTAGCCCTGTTGGTGCTTTGTTGCATTGTGTAATGAGCAGTGGGGTGTACAGGAAATGTAAAATGACATATTTTGTACACAGATAATCTTGGATCAGTTTTAGCACCTGTCGCCTCCTTCGTGCTGATTGACATGGTGAAGCACCAGCAGTTCCTGGGGCCTCACAAACTGGTTTTGACCCATAAATCTTGCCAATAAATCTTCAAGAGATGTTATTAAGATAAAATATTAACCATACTCCTAGTTGTAAGTGCTTCAGCAGAACTAAAAGCTTGAAAATGCTGTCATTAAAAATGGAACTTATGTATTTTCTGCCTTTACATCCATTTTCCATCATCAGACAGCAAAGTTACCTCGATCTGGTTTGTTTTCTGCTTCTCACAGTGCTGCAGCTCTGCTGGGAGAGCTTTGCCAAGAGCAAAAAGTTTTTGCTGAAATGTCAATTTTGGTAAACACAATTCTATTTCTAATGGGTTTATGACATTAATAGGGACCTGTCAGGCTCGTTAGTGCCTCTCTGAAACAGAGCTCTAGCAGAGGCACAGAACACAGGGCTAAGAATTTAATAGCTGCCTTAAGGATTACATCACATAATCGCTACAGTTCACATGAAAAATGTAAAAGGGAATATTTTATCCCTCTTAAAACATTCATGTATAATAGCAAGGTTTGAGTCTTATCCTACAGACCTGCCACATAAACTTTTTGCACTTGGAGCAGATTTCCTGGGGGGGGTGGGGGGGGTGGAGGGAGGGGGGAATCTCCAAGCCTTAACTGTTTTAGATGTATTTTTAAACTAAAAATCAAACAAAAGCATAAATAAATAAATAAATAACGCTTGATGCACAGGGGGTTTTATGGGCATGTTTTGTTCAGATTTTTATGAACTTCATGCCAGCTTTTCCGTAAACCTCATCTCCAGCTGGCTGTCCAGGCTGGTAGAGGAATCCTGCCCTATGTTTCACGGGAGTGCTTTTATTCCAGGAGCCCAAGTTCTCTGCACGGTGCTGCTCATCAAACCCGGGGTCTGGAGCCACAATCTTGCCAGGATCCTCAGAAATCTAGACCTGGAAAAATTCACCCTGGTCGGAATGAAACACATAGACCTGGATCCAGCCATTGCTCTGGGGCTCCTTCCTTCTGAGGTGACACAGGTTGGTTCAGATCCTGGTTAGATCTGGGGGGAAATCTGTCAGCTGGTGAATAATCCATTCCTGGGAAAGCCAGCAATTCCCACCCGGGATTTCGGAGGGGTTGTTGGGATTGAGCTGTGCAGAACAATCCGATCTGTAGTTTATCAGCACAAAGAGAGCTGCCGTGCCCGGGGTTTCTTTTATCACGTGCCACAAGGAAGCAGAGCTGGTTTCTCTCCCAGCTGAAACTTTTGGAGGGTGTGGGGAATACAGACAGACCTCCCAGGAATCTGTTCGGCTGCTGATTTACAGGGCTGACTCTTTACCTGCCAAACAGGTGTCTTCTCATCCCTCCCCGGGGTCGTTCCAGGTAGGGCACACACCTTCACGTGTGCCTGCCTTTATTCCATGTGCACTGTCAGGGAATATGGATCTCTGGAGTGCTGTTACCTCAGATTACATTAGAGACACAGCTCTGCAGAAATGACCTGCAAAGAGAGAAAATTGTCATTGCTAAGGTCTAAAAGACAAGAAAAAGGCTTCTTAAGTTTTGGGGGCATTATAGGTGTTCGTTACCTAAAAATAGATATGTTTTTGCTCTTTATAGTATTAGAAATTATTTTTGTCCTCAGCCTGACATATCCTGAGTGTACAGATATAATGAAAGCCTGGGAACTGAACACTGGGCATTTGAGAAAAGTTAGATTATTATTTTTTTATTATTTCCTTGGGGGAAAAAAAAAAAACCAGACCTGTTATTTGATTGCTTTCATGAAGACATGTAAGCAATTAACTTTAGAGAAAACAAACCTTTGTAATTGATACTGCTTTTGGGTTAAGCTGGGAAAGTTTATAGCACTGTCTCCAAGAAATTCTGGATAGAGACTTCCAGAAGAAAATAAGAACATGCCAGAGCAGTGCTGTGGAACAATTAATACCTTCTGTGTGATAGCAGTGAGCACAAGCATCTGATTTTTAAATATTTATATGGGTTGCTGTTAGACTGGATGGGGATGTGCTTCCCTCTATGTTTTTTAATACAGAAACAAATACAAAATGCTAAATACAAAATGCTTTTTTGATCATCTGAAACAGAAAACATCTTAAAAAAATCCAAATATCCTCAGGAAATTATGCAGATACTTGTGGGGTAAATGTGAGGAGAGGTTGTTTCATGAAAAATATCTTGGGTTTGGAGTTCTCCAACACGCAGGAGCAGCTGTTGAGCATTGATTTAGTTTCCTTGAAGAGCTAGTAACTAATGAGTGTAAAAATTACAGACCATTGGGGTTTTGTTCATGGAAAAAAAGGAGCAGGTTTTGAAAGGGAAAACAGAGAAATAGTATGCCTTTGGCAGGGGGAACAGACAGTGGGAAATGCTTTCTGCTGTCCAGGGGCTCCTTCTCCTTCTTAGAACACGTCAGAAAGTCTTTCACTGGTGAGGGCTGGGAAAGGCTGAGCTCCCAGGGTAAGTAGGGAGATTTTCAGAAAGCCTCAGCAGGCTCCAGGGGCTGGGTTATTTGGAAACTCCAGCTGGGAAGGAGCACAATGGCAGCCCTGGGAGCAGGGCTGGTTTTCCAGCTGAATTGCCTCTCTGGCATTTGGATGGGAGCGATGTCAGCGTGGATCTGTTCCTCAGTTTACGGCACAGCAGGACACAATACTGGTTATAAACTGAGGCTCTTAATGTGGGTGGACATTGCTGAATTTAGCATGTCACAGAATCCCAGGATAGCTGAGGTTGGAAGGGATAAATGGAGATAATCCCACCCTCCTGCTCAGCAGGGTCGTCTGGAGCAGGTGACACGGGAAGGTTTGGAATGTCTCCAGAGAGGGAGATTCCACACCCTCCCTGGCAGCTGTTCCAGAGCTCTGCCATGGAAAGAAGTTCTTCCTTATGTTGAGGTGGAACTGCTTGTGTTTTATTTGTGACCATTGCTCCTCGTCTTGTCTCTGGGTGCCACCGACCAGAGCCTGGCACCGTCCTCTGACACCCCTGGGAGATCCTTCTATGTATGGACAAGACCAATGATGATGAGACACCTGTTGAAGAAGGTGGAGCCAGTGTTTCTGCCCCTTCTAGAAATTATCTCCACGGCTTTTATCGCCCCACCTGGAGCCTCATCCAACACCCACCTCTGGAGAACCCCCCAGCGCTCCGGGACGTGCCGGTTTGTTGTGTGTACACAACTCCTGTGAGCAAATTTGGGGTTTATTCACTGAAGCCAGACTACCTCGCATCTCCTCTTTCTTTCTAATGTATTATTTACGTGCACTTGACAAACATCCTCAGCAGCCTGATCTCAGCTACGTGATTGCTTTTTCAAGTTAAATACTGACGCTGAGCTCCGGAGCGGCTCACGGCCTTTGGCATGTGATAAATTATGGATTGCTCGGTTCTCTGCCGGGGTTATCCAGTCACAGGAGCCACAACAATGTGTTTTATCTGAAGTTTAATAATGCTTATAAAAAAATAAAGGTCAGGTAAATAGAGCTGACATCGTCTTCCCAGTTTTTGGCACGACCTGATGGTGTTCAGACAGCGAGAAGCGCCTGATCCCAGGGGGGAATTCTGCCCTTGGAGGCTGGATCTCCTTTCAGTGCTTATCCAGCAGATCCAGCCCTGTGGAGATTGGCATTTTTAGCCTGATTTTTACAGAGGGACTTGATCCTGCTTTGGGGGATTACCTGCTCTGATTGCCTGCAGTAGCAGGTCACTGGACTCAGTACTCAACGATTCTCTCCAACCCTATCTTGTGATTCCAGCAGTAAAGGCAGAAGGATAATTTTGCTGCTTGTTAATCCCGTTATCCTCCCGAGCCAGTGCACAGCTGGAACTTCCTCTCAACGAAATTGCTCACTGAATTCGAGGCAGCTGCACATGTGCAACCTCTCCACAGCTGCTCGTGGGGATCCACAAGGACACAGCTTGGAGACAGCACGATAGAAATGAAGGAGGATGGAAAAAAAAGAATGAGAATAAAGGCAGCACTGGGCTGGTGGCACGTGGAGTGGATGTGAGGAGCTGTAACAGAAGGAAAGGGTCGCCTTGACTCTTTAATGATTAGAAACAACATCGTCTTTAACTCCAAGTGCTTGGATTTGCTGGGGAAGAGCTGCAAGACAGGAAACAGGAGAGTTTCGTTATGTAGATCTAAAATCACTGTTAAGAAGCTCTGGAGCAACATAATTTGATTTATTCTGGTCTGACACAGATGAATGTTGACACGTTACATCAGTCTTTGTGAAAGCTTTCATGGAAATCATCACTGCTTTTCATCCCCCGAAGAGAAAACCCATAGAAAAGTGAATTATACACATTTCTTTCTTTCTAACTACCAAAATTTCCAAGCATGAAGGGATTATTTCATGTTGTGCAGAGCTGAATGAATGTCACAGTTTTGCAGTGCACTGTGCCACGCTGGAATTCTTCATCCCCATCCAAACAGAGCTCTCCTCGCTGGAGATGCCACCCTTTGCCCACGGGGCAGGAGGATTGGCCACCACCACATACAATCCCTTCCATAACTCAGCACTTTAAGAACAGGAGGGATTTCTCATAGATCATTTTACGAGAATATCAGGCCTGAGCTCATGGTTTTCAATTTCTAACCCAGTTCTCAGAGATGCAGTGTGAGAAGATTTGGGTCAAAGTCAGTGAATGGTTTCACGTGATGGAGGAGCAAAAGAGGCCTTGAAGTGTTTTATCTCCATATTTTTAAATGAAATGGTAGGATTTGCTTTTAGAAATGTTTTATCTAGAGAATTGCCCTCCTCTGGTGCTTTTAGAAGATTAAAAAATAGAGGAATTAAACCCTCTGTGAATGATGTGATGCAGCTGAATCAAATTCCCCTCCTGTTTTTATTTCCTCCAAAATTAGGAAAAAAAGTAAATAACCCTGAGTTTGTTCAGGCAGGGAGCTAGAAATGCCCTTGTTTGTAACGTGTGGAGAACATCCAGGGCTGGCACTCACACTGTGGGGTGCAGGGAAGCAGAGCTGGGTGCTGCTGCCACTTTACTCAGGTGAAGAGGCAGGAGGAGGGAGGCTGCAGCTGCTTTGGGCACCCTGATCTTGTGTTCAGCCCAGACATCTGCAACAAGCCTGGTTTTCCAAGGTTTTCCTTGATTAAAGCCATCAGCAAGGCCATGAGCTCTCTGCTGCTCGTGGTATCCTGCCCCAGGCACTTGCTGCCTTTCCATCATTATGTCCCTCTCCAGCACTCAAAGCAGATTTTCTCTCACCAGTACAGTGGTTGATAGTTGGCATTTCCACTTAACCTTAGGCAAAATAAGATTTCAGGGTGTTGTGACCAGCACAGCTACAAGAGGAACAGCTCTGCTCAGGAGGCTGAACTGACCATGCTTGGGAAAAAAGCAAAAGTAAAGCAATTTTCCATGAAGCAAAGGAATTTTGGATGCAAGAAAAAAGCATTAGAAAAATCACAGCAAAATCAGTGGCAAAGACAGGAGGGCCAAGGGTTTTTTTGCAGCCCCTCTTCTGACCCTCCTACTTTTAAACTCTGTAGTTCTGATCCTAGTATCTGGAATTCTACCATCTTCCAGGAGAAACTCAGCTCTGGCAGCAGGGGATGTGTGTGTGTGTGTGTGTGTGGTTGGGTAGGTCTTGCCTTTCATGAATACAAAAAGAAAGGGTCTGCTATTTGTAATCCATCATTTTATATTGGCTGAAGAATTAAATGTGGCTTGTTGTCCCAGAGAAATTATAATGACCCTGGTGATACTGCCCGTGTTCCTGCTCCCACCTGATCCATGGCAGTTCCTCCCTGCCGAAGCAATCAGACCCTGGTGGGTATCACAAGTACTGCTCAGTGTCTGTGGTGTGTATTTTGAACCTCTGCCTTCAGGGACCACCAGCACGTGTCTTAAAGAGGACAGAAAGCGAGGACTAGTGGCAGATCTGCTTACTTCCAGCTTTTCCTAGCCAAAGGAAAGCTGGGATATACCCAGAGCTTTCCAACGCTGTTCCTTATAACTGTTCCATCTCTGTTCTTTCTTCCCAGGATCCTGCTGCTTCAGGAGCTCACTGTACCTACCTCACCTCAGGCACTGCCCTCGTGCTGTGTCTGCAGAGGCCAAATGCTGTGAAGAAGCTGCTGGATCTCCTGGGGCCAGAGGATCCTAAAGTAGCCCAAGCACTCGATCCCTGCCTCTGGAGGGCTCAGTACGGCACCAGCACAGTCCACAACGGATTTTATGGTAGGTTTTTGGAAAAGGAAAGGCCAAAGGCTCAGATATGCAAATGGAAAATATATAATGTGCTGTTCCCTCCTGCATTGTCACTACAGATCCAGCCTTGGCAGCCAGTGAAGACCATTATTCCCTAGAGAGCTTTCACTGTTTTCTTGGTGGCTGAGCTGAGTGTGTCTCAAGCTATAAAAGATTCTCCCAGAGGAGATAATTTCAAAAAGGTTTCTTCCCAGAACAGCCCTAGATCTGTGTTCCATCATAACAGATTTCCTTTGATCTCTTCCCTGCTTGGTCATTTTGTACTTTTGGCTTGGCTGTTTTGTAATTACCCCCAAGAACCCATCTGTCTTCTCTGCTTGTATGTGTCCTGCTGATGTCTCCACCAGCCATTGGCCCACTCCAACCAGATTTCCCAGAGGAATTAAAGACTCCGAGACACCGAGTTTCTGTAACATCTCAAAACACCAGGGACCAATAGAGAGGTGATTAAGAATGTCTCTGAGTGAGGAAAGCAGGTAAACTCAGCTGTTTTCCATCAGGAGAGGCTCTTTCCAGCTGGCACATGCAGAGCACACAGTCAGCATCCTCAGAGTGCTGAACCATCACAGCTCATCTGCCAGCAGGGAAGGGCTGGGGTGTTGCAGTGTGTGTGTGTGTGTGAAGGATGAGAAAATGGGAATCAGCCCTGGAGAGAACAAAGGGTATTGCTGCTGGAGGTATTGCCACAAGGAGGGAAGGATGTTATGCCAAAAATTGTGAGGGTTAAATCACTGCCCACGAATAGTGTTTTGTCTCAGTGTGGATCTGATTGTGCTCTTTGTAGTTAAACAAATGTAAAAATAATAAAGCAATAATTTCTTTAAACCCAGGTGAGCTGGTAGGCACTGTGTGCCCTCAAGTCCCAGAACTTTCCTTGGATTATTTGGCTCTTTCTATTGTATTCTGTGCTGTGAAATCTCTCCCTCTTTTCATCCATATCAAGTGGTCTGTTGAAAACTGGTAGATAATGAAGCACTACCATGTAGCTTGGGGAAGAGAACCAACCCCTCGATCCAGAACCTTCTTTCATCAGATTGGAATCTTGAGGACCAAGACTGAGCCAAGAGAGCTCTCTCACCATGATCCCATAGGATCCACCTGCACAAAAAAAGTGGTCAGGGCTCTTTAGCCAATTCTTTTACATTGTCAGCCCCTGCTTCTTTTGCCCTTGAGATTAATGGGTTGTGTCTCCAGGTTGCCTTGAGACTGAGAACTCGTCAGTCATGACTAAGAACAGGTAATATATCCCCCAAACTTCAGACACCTGCTACAGTTAGAGCATCCCCAGCATAACTCAGTGAAAGATGACTTCATATTAATCAGAGAGGCTGAGTCTCATCCTGTCTGGTTGGGAGTCACAGGTTTTGAGAATCCCCCTGTTTTTGAGAACCCCCCCTAATGTTCTGCTTTGGGATTCCCTTCAGACCCCTAGGCTGGGATTTGAAGTCACCTTTTAAGTCTGGGCTGGGCACAGAGCTGAGCTGGCCACCCCCTGCTCTCAGACCAGACTATGTGCGTTGGGTACAAAGCCATCCTGGCACACATTCCAGGAAAATGGATGGAGCTGGAGCTAACTGATGAGCCTGACCCAGCTGCTCTGCCAAGGAGGTGTCTGCCCATAAGGAAAGGAGTGTTCCTAAACCCTTGCACCTCCAAGAGCTTGTCCTTCAATACAGGTGAAACATTTTCCTGCAAGTTAAGCAGGAAGAGCTTTCCATGAGTAATGTGGGGGACTGTAAGTAAGACCATCCTCCTTTCCTAGGAGGGAATACTAAGCTTTCTCAGTTTTGCTCCAGCTGAGGAAGAACTTTAGTTAATGCCTGAAGCAGAGCAAACTCTCACTATTTCCTCCCAAAGTGACTGGGGATTCAATTAATATGAACCCCAGGTTCCAGGGAGACCACTGAACCAGGTAATGCAGTGACACAGCTTTAGGAGTCTGAGGCTCAGCTGCAGAGTTAAACCTGCCTTCCTTTCATCTCTCTGGAGCCTGGAAAGTCACCGTGCAGTGCTTTTCCTCACATCCAAAGAGCTCCTACGTGTGTGCCCCTTACCCTGTGTTACACCTCGAGCAAGGCAAGAGTTTTACTGCTGCTCACTTTGGGAGTGTCCTCTGCTGGCATCAGTGATTTAAACGTGGCAGGTGCAGAAAGGATCCAGCACAGCTCAAACACAGGTGACTTAGACAGCCTCAGGATTGTGAAGTGCTGCACTAAGGGCTCTGGCCACACAAAATTGGAATTGCAGAGTTCAAACAGTGCTCTCAGATGGGATCCTGGGATGGGCAGCCCCAAAGGTGGGAATGTTTCTGAGGATATTTGTGTAGTTGTATCCCAGGAGTGTGGATCTGTGCCAGCACACTGACAAACTCTGTGGACTCCAGTGACACAGAAATAGCTTTTCCCTCTCTAATATTTTCCACCCACGAATCTCAACGCATTCTGAGTGGTGCTTTATAACACTGATGCTTTACAGGGGAAAATGCAGCTGCTGAGCCTGGAGAGACCTTTCAAGTCACTGAGTTCAGCTCATTCCCTCACAGACAACCCCATCACACATTCCCTTTCATAAGCAGCCACCCCGCTTGGCTGGTTGTCACAGGGCTTCTCTGCTCTGATAGCTAAAAATCTTCTTACATTTTCAAACTCAAATATAGTCACATCCAGTTCTCGCCCATTTGTCCTTCTGCCATTATCTGGACTTTATTTTAAGTAGTTCTTTTTATGCCTCTGACCTTTTCTACCCTGCAGCGTTTATCAGAAATCAAATTGCTTCTCAGCTTTGGGTCATGTTGGGTCAAACAAGCAAAGGTCTTCTAGCTTTAACTTTTCAGATGATTTTCCGTTCCTTCCATCATCCTCATGTCATTTCTCTGTACCTGTTCTAGTCTCAATTCACTTTTTATGACCCTGTGTGAAGAGAAAATGCACTGCCATTAGCAATGCCTGCTGCTAATTCTGATTTCTGCGGTCAATTAAAGCCCCACAGCCTATTTAGGACCTGCATTATTGTTACAAACTACATTTATTTTACTAACTAGCAGCTCTTTTCCTTTGGTAAGATCAGCCTGATGTGATCCAGAAGCAAAGGAAAAACAGTGGGATTTGGAGCTGGAATTGAAGGGTTTCACAGGCTCCTGAACACAATTCCCTTGGCTATACTCTTAGGAAGTAGAAGGAGTCTTGTTTACATGAAGAAGCTGCTGAGTGATAATAAGACAGAACCAAAAATACCGAGGAGGCAATGAAACTATTCTAAATATAATGGTTTTAAACGTTTGCTATTACTGTACAGAACAGCTGGCCTTTGAAGCAATTACTTCAGTAAGTTGCACATCATCAATCTCTCCAAAAGATGAGTGTGAGTCTAGAGAAAATGTTTAATTCAAAGCCTGAGAGAATCTTCTCATTTTATTTATCTCTCAGGCTCCAAATCCTATCAGATGGCTGTCCGGGATATGAAGCTGTTTTTCCCAGAAGGGCTCTGCTGTGCCAAGTGTCAGGCACTGGAGGAAGAAGAGGTAGGATATGCCCTTTTCCTGGGGTTTATCCTGCTGTGTCAGGGCAGTGGCTTTGGCCTTGCTATATCCCATGACTGCTTTCCTATTATGTTTTAGATAATGCTGCTTTTGATGTGTTTTACCAGCTGCTGAGTTTTCCTTCTCCTGTGGATGTTCCTACCACGCTGTGCTCCCTCCGTACTGACCCAGAGAGCCGGTGGAGAAGAGCTGGTCCAGATCTGTTTGTTCAGAACCCCGTGCTGGAAATTCAAGAGGGTTCAGGGTTTTAGGAGCAAAGCTCCCAGCTGGTCAGCATTGCTCTGGAAGGGGGATATTTGCTTTCAGCAGGGATAGCAGCACCATCCCTGACTGCTGAGCACAGATGACCCAGGGGCTGATTTTTCACCAGCTTTGTGTCATTCAGGATTGGAGATGATGGAATAATGATTTGGTTGTGCTCAAATGAGCGATGGAAATGTTTGAGCCTTGCTGTGGCTCAGGGGTGACCCAGCTGAGTGAGTCCAAGGAGATGAGCTCTGGAATTATCCACAGCTGGAACTGGCTTCAGTAATGTGGCTGCTGTCCCTGTGCAGCTCAGTCCAGGGCATTGTGGCTGTGCTGGACACTTGGATGTGCCAGTTCATTCAGAGGCAGGAAGGAGCTGCTACACCCCAGCTTTTCTCATCCAGAGTGGCACTGGATAAAGCTGCCAGCCTCACAGCTCCACAGCTTTGGAGTTTCTGGCCTGGAAAAGCTGGGAGCAGAGACCTTAGAAAGATGTCAGGATACAGGACTTTTAAAAGGAGGACGAGATCCTGTACTGAATTAAGCCTCAATTAAGAAGAAAAAATGCAAAATGTTCTTGTGTCTCCAGATGAGCAGGTGTTTTCTGGGCTGGCAATTACAGAAGTACACAACAGCAACAAAAGCTGCACAGCTTGCCTGAATCAATCCTTCAGAAGTGTTAGCCCTCCTGATTAGGTAGCAGCGTTCATGTGACTTGCTTCTCTCTCCCTCTCTTCCCTCCTGCAGATTTATAACCTGAAACGTGACCCCATTTTCAGCCTGGAAATCAGCAAGGAGCACAAGACCCTAAACAGTGAGCCAGGAAGAAAACCCAATGTTCTGGGCTCTGAGCAGCTATGCAGTCCTGGTAAGGAAATGTAACTCCTGTTACAGATTGGGACTGCTATTGATTAATTGGCCAGCAAGACAAACCATCTGGTGGCAGCAAGATTTGGTATTGATGTCCTCTCAGAAGGGAGAGACAGCTCTGAGCTGCAAAGAACAGCTCCAGGGGAGTGCAGCCATTTAACTGTTTGCCTGCTGGCCCTTTGCACTGCCAGTGCTTTAGGGGTTAAATACAGAGTTGAGCTTAACAGCAGCAGCAGAGCAAGCACTGTCAACACAGCTGGTGGATCCAACAGCACGCACCCCTCTCCTGAACTTTTATGGTCTCAGCACCACTTTGGCCACAGTGGTTTGTGTGTCCATTCAAAGCCTCCCTGGGAGAGGTAGGAAACCAGGTCCTGGGGGTCCTGGGGGTGGTGAGGTGATCTGTTCTGTGAGTAGATGGATACCAATTTATGCAGGGAGTGCTGCTGGCAGCACAACCATCTAACTCTCAGGAACTGGACTGAGAGCTCATTCAGTTCCTCCTGCTGCTGAGCAGCTGCCAGCTCAAAATGACTCCCAGCTATTGCCAGGCTGACTTTGATTTGGAGCTGAAGCCTCAGCAAGGCTGTCAGATCCCTTGGATGCAGCAGCTTCTCGGGGCCTTTTCTGTTGATTTGACTTGATAGACAAGTGTAAACACAGCTGGGCTGCAGCATCATTCAGGCCACGACATGTCACTAACACAGGGGGTGCTTCCATCTTGGGATGTTGGGGATTGATCCCAAGCCTTTACAAAACAAACAGTGATCCAGTAAAGCCTCCCCTGTGGTGTTCACTGGGGAACAGAATTGTTTGGAACCAGCTCATTCTCGTTCCTGGAGCTTGAGTTCAGGTGTGACTGATGTGGGCAGCTCAGAAGATGGTTCTGTGCTGCCCCTGATCACCGTGGTCATTGACACCGGCAGTGGATCCCCAGGATTGTTGCACTGAGAGAGGAGCATGACAAAAATGCCACAGAATTACAGACCATCACATCCCTCCTTAAACTCTTCCTGACACGGGACTTTGGGGCACTGCTCCCATCCCAGGAGGTGCATGAGGCAGCTCATGTGGAACTGCAGAGAAGGGGTGGTAAGGCCAGGACTCTGCCCTAAGGACAGCAGAGCTGTCACTTTGAGTAGGGGGGCTCTGGAGGAGGATTTTTCCCAAGGTATTTGTTACATCATCTTACTGCACAGTGGGGTAGAAGTGGGCCTGCAGCACAGCTCTGCTGTGGCTGAAGCACTGCTTGCTTTTTATAAGAGATTGCATAAAATAAAATAAATAAAACAGCTTGTGGGGAGAGCAGAGGTATTCTGCAGGCTTTGCACAGCCCAGTGTTTGCAATCAAATCTCAAAATAACGTGCCCTTAATTTCTTGCTGCACGAGGATCTCTGCTTTGAAGACGTCTAGGCAGAGTAAAAAGGAAAGCAGTGTACAGCCCTGATGTTTTTGTGTCTCAGAAAATGTATTTCAAAGAGTTACTGTCCTGGAAAAGCAAGCCCACGTGATCCCTGAACTGTCAGGCAGGATATAGTAAGTGCCTCCAGCAAGGCAGACACATCACTCACGTTCTGGGCTCCTCTTGAACACTAGAGGAAGCTCTTGCACACAGGGAAACCTCCTTCCAGCAAATAATTATCACAAAGCTGCTGCCTAATGGACAGACAGATTTATCATGAGGAAAATATGAAATACATTAAGTCTTACGTATGTTGAGCAGAATTACATTGGGGATTATAAAAGCAGCTGGATTAACAGATTTCTTTGCTCGGGAAAAAAAATGAAATGGAATCGTATCTCCTGTAGCAAAGCAGCAGCTGTCCTTGTCTGACTCCTGAAATGGGGTCAGGACTGCTGTCTTGTGATCTCCAGACAGGGACACACAGGCAGCAGCAGTCCAGCAGCTTGGGATGAGCATCCCAAACCACATCGCGACACCTGAGTGCCTCCAACCTCCCACTTGCACCTCCGTGGCGGGGAAGAATCACTTAGAGGTGGAGGGAGAAATACCAAATAAGTGTTTTCATCTTCTCCCATCAGGTCAGCCAGTGCTGGATACCCTCTGCCAAACCACTTGCCTGGTGTTGCCCGGGATAATCCTGCGGGGTTCAGAGCCCCCCCCGTACGTGGAGCTGCTGGCTGAGCTCCTTGGCAGAGGGTTCTGGCTGAGCGGAGCTCGGCTCACCGTGCTGGACATGCCCCAGGCTCTCTGCGTCTCCGGGACACTCAGCAGGGCCAAGGGCAGTGTGGCAGCAAAGGTATGGAACAGCTGGAGCTAGGCTTTGCTTCCCTCCCAGAACGAGAGCCTGTGAATGCCCTGCTGTGTGTGCTGAGCTGGCTGTTTGCTCTGAGCACGCTGGCTTTGGTAGCAGTGTGCCAGCACTGCCCCTGGGCTCTGACACCTCTGGTAAGTAAGCTGGGCAGTGTCCCTTCCTGGTGTTCCTGTGTCCCTGTGATTTATCCTTAGTGGGAATTGCCCATCCATTATTTATTTATTGAGCATTTAATTCTGTTCACCCATCAGTGCACTATTATGCATGTGTTGCTGCTGTCTCCTCTCTTGTTTCTCCATATAAATACAATTTCTCTTTCCCTTTCTCTGATCACACCCCATTACTCCTCTACTACAACGCTGAACAACTCCTTCATATCTTGGACTGTGCCTTGGAGTCCTGGGCAGGGATTTCCCACCTGGGATGCTGCCTCCAGCTCTGGGGTCCCCAGCACAGGAAGGACATGGGCCAGTTGGAGCGAGTCAAGAGGAGGCCCCAAGATGATCAGAGATGGAGCAGCTCTGCTGGGAGGAAAGGCTGGAGAACTGGGATTGTTCAGTCTGGAGAAGAGAAGGCTTTGGGGTCACTTCATTGTGGCCTTCTGGGACCTGAAGGGACCCTACAGGGAAGATGGAAAGAGACTATTTACAGGGGCCTGGAGGGACAGGAAAAGGGGGAATGGCTTCCCACTGCGAGGGTTAGATGAGATATTTGGAAGGAATTGTTGGCTGTGAGGATGATGAGGGTCTGGCACAGGTTGCCCAGAGAATCTGTGGCTGCCCCAGCCCTGGGGCTGGATGGGGCTTGGAGCAACCTGGGATAGGGGAGGGTGTCCCTGCCCATGGCAAAACACATTTGTGCTTCCAGCCTTTCAGTTATGTGTCTTAGATGTTATCTGTAATAAGAGCAGCTAAGACCTTTTCAGGTTGTGATTTTTTTAAACTGACATCCCTTTGAAGTACATCTGTAGGGAACAGCAATTACATCTCGCAGCCAATTAGCGTGAGAACTGCTTCCTTCTCCCGCGGGTCCCCCGAGGATCCATCCCTCTGCACATGGAATGTGCAGCTCTCTAGGAATGACAGAGTGAATCAGTGTGTGTGGGGCAGAGCCATTCCTCCTTCCTCCTGGCACAGATTAATGACTCTGGGCAGAGCTGGCGTGCTTCCAGAAGGATCTGGCACTGCTGAGCCCAAGGTGAATGTTACAGCCTTTGCTTTCCCGTGCTGGAAGGGAGTGGGTTCCTTCAAGTAATGAGTGCTTCTGCTACAATATCTCAACATTTACCTTATCTCCCTATTCCTGCTTCCAGCAGAGGTAATGACTGAATAACACCCCTGCTTATTTTCACTCTGAGAGAGGAGAGCAGGAATAACAGTGAGCTGGAGGAGCTGGTTAACAGTTCAGACATGATCCTCTCCAGCCCCTCCCACAGCACACAAGTGGTTATTGGTGCTGTCAGCAGTTCATCAGCCAGAATTAGACTCCTTTAAGTGAAGAGCAGCACCAGAGCTGTGTTCTTGCCTCTCTTGCAGTGTTCCCTCCTGAAGGATGGTTTGTGCCTGGTGCTGGCAGCACAGCAGGACGATGCTGTCACCTGCCTCTGCTCCCTGCTGGACAGGTAAGAGAGGGCATGGCCCTGCCCACACCGGGACAGGGTTTGTGCTCTGGGGAAGGACACCTCCTCCTCTGTCACTCCAGTTCTGATGAGGGCAGGTGCCACTCAAAGGCAGCCTATTCTTCACAGTTACCTTGTTAATCACTGAATCATGGAATCGTTAAGGTTGGAAAATACCATTAAGATCATCAAATCCAGCCATCAACCCAGCACCACCACCATGTGCTGCATTAAGGCAGGTCCCCAAACGCCACATCCAAATGTGGTTTTGAGTCATGATCGCTTCTAGGGATCGTGACTCCACCATTGCCCTGGGCAGCCTGTTGCAGTGCCTGAGCACCCTTTCCATGAAGGAACTTCCCCAATATCCAACCTAAACCTCCCCTGACGTATCTTGAGGCTGTTTCTTCTCATCCTGTCCCTTGTTCCTTGGGAATAGAGCCTGACCATCACCTGTCTCCACCCTCCTGTCAGGGAGTTGGAGAGAGTGAGAAGGTCCCTCAGCTGCTCCTGGTGCTCCAGGCCCTTCCCCAGCTCCATTCCCTTCTCTGGACACGCTCCAGCCCTTCAATGTCTCTCTTGTCATGAGGGGCACGATACCTCAGAGTATCCACACTTTCAAAGTTGTGGGTCCTCTACTCATGACCTTAAAGACTAAGCTGTGTCACTTGTGAAGGACCTGGAGCACCTGTGAGGTTTGGCAGCGTGGTTCCATGGATCCAGGGGATTCTGTGGAATGAGGACTCACAGTGGGAATAGACCTGCTGAATCGATGCAATTCCTTGGAGAAATATCTTAGCAGATTTTAACGTTTGCTATGAAAAAACTACTGAAATGCCAGAGAGCAAAATCAAAATTAGCCTCTTAAATAAACCACCAGAAACGTTGGATGGAGAATGTACAAGACTGGGAAAACAAACAGAACCCCTCTGCAGGGACCGATTAGTGAAACGGAGTGATTAGCAGGGCAATTAACCCTCTGTTCCCCAGAGGGAGGGTTTGCCTGCACAGGGGCTGCTGTTTGGCAATGGGATGTGTAGCTCATGCACATGGTTCCTCTGGCAGAGGAAGCAAGGAGGGTGTTTTCTGACACATTCAGTGAGGAGCAGGCCAGAAGCCACGCTGGTAACACTGCCCTGACTTTGGCTGGACCATCTGGAGGACTTGCAGGTGATGCTGTCCGTGGAACAGGAGTAGGTATTCAGGGATAATGGAGTTTACAAGCATCGAGGGGCTCAAAGCTGAATATCCGTGTTTGTTGGCACCTCAGACTTCTCGTACTTGGATGAAACGTTACAGGGCCACACCCAGGAAGAGTGGCTGGAACAAAGTTCAGCAGTCAGTTTTCAAAAATGTGTTCAAGGTAATTGCAAAATACGGACTTTGCTCCCGTTCATTTCAATTCACGCCCTCGGGAGCCACATCCCAAACCTTCCCCCCTGCAAGGCACAGCACTAAAGGGAGGCAAAGAGCAACTTCCCCAAGACCTTTCTGCTGAGTTTTTTCTTCCACTTTTTTTTTTTTTCCTGGTTTACAGGGGAAAATGGAGCTGTTGGGACCCCCAGAAATCACCGAGGTGGTTCTGGGAGAGTGGTTGCCAGTATAAGCCCCCTCCCCCCCCAACCTCTCTGTTTTTCCCACAGTCATGGGTGCTGCTTAGCAAGACCAGCTGCAGCCCAGCATGTCCCTCTCCTGTAGGCTTGATGTGTTTTCAGCTTCAGTCTCAAGGCAGCACCTCCAGAGAAACTTCCTGTGGCTTCTCCTGTCTTTCCCAGGGAGCCCAGGGGCTGGGAAGGAAGTGGGCAGGAATAGGTGCCAGTCTCACTGTGCCTTCACCTCTCATCCTGCTCTGTACAAAGGAGTTCCTCATGAACTGCAAAATACACGGGCATAAGTTATGGCTGTCGAGAGGCACTTGCAGGATCCACTCTGCCTCTCACCCTCCTGCCAGAACCGGTGATCAGGCAGCCGTTTCATCCCCAAACCCCATATTTGCCTTCGTGATCCACGGTGCCCGTGGAAGGGAGGGGCAGGAAAGTGTGCCCAGGGATGGGAGGAGGGAGGCTCACACCTTCAGGTGGATCAGCTTCAGCCAGCAGGAGCTCAGGCCCTTATTGTCTCACGAGGCATTGCTTAAAATCAGCTCTGCCAATATGTTTGAAAACCCAGCCCGACTTCACTAGTGCCTCATAAGGGCACTTCACGCCAAGACATCTTCAATTTAAATAACACCTGAGGTTAATTGCACTTACAACTCCATCAGCCCTTTCTGTACCCTGTAAATCACCGGGTATTTATTTCCCCTCTCTCTGCCACGACCTGCCCGGGTTCTGGCCTGAATTCCAGCTGCCCTGCTGAAGCACCACGGTGGAGGGATTATTTTACAGCCCTGGGACTTGATTCACAGCTGAGCCACAGTTCTTTGTGCCAGGGGGAGGAATGTTGCCATCTGTATGGAAGCCTGGGACGTGATGTCAGAGATGGGCCTTGATAAGGAGGAGGAATCAGGTGTTGAGAGGAACAAAGTGGTCTTTGCCAGTGTAACTGCTCCTAGTTCTGAGTCTATTAAAGCTTCCCTAAGCCAGCTCTGGCAGTGCTGGAGAGACATCCAGTCCCTGGGGGGGGGGTTTGAAGACAGAGCTGGACCCTCCTAAGGGTGTCTTGATTGTTGCCCATCAGCAGGGCCCGCTCTGGCTGCTCTCTGCACATCCATGAGGGAATTATTCCTGCACCAAAGAGCAGGAAGAACAGAGAGAGGGACAAAACGAGTGCAGGTGTGGACACAAAGGCAGCCTGTGAGTTTGGTTGCCCGCCAAGAGTGGAGCCAAAGCAGGAATCTGGGAGAATCTGGGCATGTGCCAAGGCCAACTCACAGGGCAGAGGGAAGGGAATGTTTGGGAGAGGTGAGGGGAAGCTGCAGCACAGCCTGGGGGGAGCAGTGGGAACCAGGGGGGACAACCCAGAGAGAAGGAAGTGGCACAATCCCATCCCCAGACAAGGAAAAATGATGTGAGACTCACCTTTCTAGTTCTGTCAGCATCCGGCTGCCTGGATATCTCACTTGAAAGCGTTTGAATTTTCCCTGTCATAACTTGTTTTCACAGCCACATTTCCTGGCTGCAGGGTGGCAGAGGGAAAAGCACACAGCAGTGGATTCAAAGCAGCTCCTGGGAGGGAGGCATGCTCTGCTTTTTATGCATGACAAACCAGATTTAGCTGCCTTAATAGGTGATGCTGGTGCCGTAGTGATTACTCCTCTATGGCTTTCAGCATTTAAAAAGCACTTTCAGATGCCTGTAAGATTGTTAGGACCTAAACATGTTGTACACAGACTTAGGAGCTCACCTGTACTGAACTCGGGAGGCAGGTTTTGGGTAAAACACTCTAAACACTGCAGCAGAATAAAACCAGAGTTTAGGCCAGGCTTTATGCCTTTCTGCCTTTAAATAATGTAATGCAATCAGAGCAGAAGCCACGTGTTAAGGAACTTAGCTGGATGTTATTCTTTCTGATGAAACATTCTTACCAAGTGTTAATTGCTGTTAGCGGGGAGCGATGTTATCCCTATGGGAAGCTCATCCCGGGGAGCTTTGGAGGGGTAGGAGGTGTAGGAAAAAAAAACCACAAAAAACCACAAAAAACCGAACACATGGGGTGTAAAATCTTAGAGCAGTTGAAAACCACTGAAAGGAAAACTGTTGCCAAGCACAATACCTGCATATGGGGGCAGGGAGCAGGGAGTGGCCGCCAAAGCCTCTGGAGAATTTTCAAGCCCGAGGCTCCAAGCGTGCACAGAGTCAGTTTAAAAGGCACTTTTGAAATGTGTACTATGCCTTTTGATTTCTCTTGAATGCCTTTCAGGGTCAGCTTGTGTGTGGCTTGAGGAGGAACAGAGCAAAACAAGGACTAGCGAGGCAGTCCCTGCAGCTTGGAAAGTCCTGGGGTTTGTGGGAAACACCCAGATTATCTTTGTGGAGAACAAGCCCCTCGCACAGAGCAAACTATCTACGCTTGTACGTCTGCCCCAGAGCCCCCATTATGCAACTGGTCACCACTGTTAGTTTGGAGGTTTATATTTTAATAGTGCCAAGCCATTTATATACAAAGCTTTGTAAACCCCAGGATTTAGCTGTGTAAAGATGTTCAGCAGCAGATGCCCGTGGCACAGAGCACAGAGCTGGGTCATCTGCACTCCCTGACAGCTGACAGGGCAAACTAACCCTGCCTTCCCTTCCTCTTTCCCCCCAGTGCCTGCTGGCAGAAGCAGTCCATCCTGAACGCTGCAGAGCATCTCCTTTATCCCCAGACTGAGAATCAGGCAAGTAGAGAAGTTTATGGTACAGATATGTGTCCTTTGTGCCCCAGTGATGAGTGAGATTTGTCAGTGCTGGTTGAGTTTTAGAAGAAAATGCTAAGCTTTCTGAGACAGAGGTGGTGTCTTGTGGCAGCCCCAAGCCTTGGCTTAGGCTGAGCCCAGCATTTGGGGAAGGTGGGACCAAAATCCTGCCAAACTGTCTCCCATATTACAGTGGTGACACAATTTTTAATCGAAATACTTGGAGATACTGATAAAGAATCTATGCTTTCCATAGAAATTCAGTTATTTTTTCTGAAAAAACAGCCCGTAAAAAAATATCACAGAGTCCCAGAATGGTTTGGGTTGGAAGGGACCTTAAAGCTCATCTCATTCCACCCCCAACCATGGGCAGGGACACCTTCCACCAGCCCAGGTTGCTCCAAGCCCCATCCAACCTGGCCTTGGACACTTCCAGGGCTGGGGCAGCCACAGCTTCTCTGGGCAACCTGTGCCAGGGCCTGACACCCTCACAGGGAAGGATTTCAAATATCTGTGATATTTGTCAAAAATTAGTGACAGGAAATGTTCATTCAGCTCTGTGGCCAAGCTGGCACATGTCCTGTGTTCTGGGAGTTCTGTTTCAGAAGCCCAAATCCAAATGGAAGAGGAGAAATGAAGCCATTCCAGGGATGGGTTGGCTGAATATTTTCTCAGTCGTTCATCCCAAGAAAGGAAACACTGAGCTCCAGACATGTGGGCAGCTAATGGGAATAAACTGCATAAATACATTCTAAAATTCTGGCTGTAATCATCAAAGTTTAGAACAAAACAAACGAGAGGTTTGGACAGAGGAGGCAGTGCCTGAAGAATTGGGATTAGGAGATATAAACTCCTGGTGGAAGGTGTCCCTGCCTGTGGCAGGGGCATAGAACAAGATGGTCTTTAATATCCCTTCCAATTCAAGCCATTCTGTGATTCTGTGATAGAAGAACTGGGGGGAGTGAGAAATGACAGCAAGTGCCCAAACCTCTCCTCTGGATCCCTTTTGCTTCCCCCAAAAAAACCCAGCAGGAGAGCGAGATTGTGCCCCTAACCTCGTACAACACACGAGAGCTGCTGCCTTCAGCGCTACTGCTCAAAGGCCTGAGCCTTCAAAGACACAGGGCCCTCTTTGAAGTCTGTTATTCCTTCTTTTAACACAGTCAGAACGACCCCAACTCCCCCAAAAGTCCTTCAGCTGCTGCCTCCAGCCTCTTCAGTGGGATTGTGCCCGGCGTAGCTGGGGTGGCTGCAGTGCCTGGGAGCTCTGCCTGCTCAGCTCTGCAGGGCTGTCACAGCTCGCTGCTGCCAGGGTGCCAGGCTGTTGCCAAGGAATGTGACAGGGCAGCCAGTCCAGGCTGGCTTTTGATTTGCTTTGAAAGGACATTACATCTCTCTCTGTGCCTGACATGAAGTCCTTGCTGCTTCCCGGCACCGGGGGATCAGCCTATCAGGGGAAGGCTTGGAGCTCTTTTGTGCTGAGAAGGGAAAATAGCAAATATGCTCAGCCCTTCTCCCTGCTTCTGACAGCCTGGCATGTGGAATTTAATCCCTCTGGGGCTGCTCTCAGCAGCTCAGACCAGGACTGTGGGTCCTGGGACAGTGGCAGCTGCAGCAATGTCTTGTTGGGGGTACAAACAGCAGGTTTGTTTTCCAGGGGGTCTTTGTCTCCAAAACCTGGGGTAGGTTTGGGAATCAGAGATCTGAGGAGCAAGCACACCAGGGAAGCTGTACCTCAAAGGGTGGCCCAAGGAATGATGTTTGAGCCTCTGATCTCTTGCTAATGAGTTTATGAAATGCCAGCCAGGCTTTCCAGGGCAAAGCTAATGAGCAACATGGTGATAGCAGGCAAAGTTCAGGAGGGTTAAACGAACATGGATTTCAAATCCTCGTGGTCTGAGCAGAGCTGCAGGTCTTTACTGGTGGAGTTAAGCCGTGGAAGTGAAAAGGAATATCATCCTTGCTCCCTGTGAGATTTGGGATTAGGCAATAGGATGGGAGAGCAGCTTTTCAAATGTGGACTGTTTCAGTGCTGACATCTGGGCCTGGGCTGGTTGTCTACCAGTTCTGCAGCCACTGAGGTGAGCAGGCACTGCACTGCTGGAGCAGCTTCACCTGCCCTGTGGGAAACATCTGCCTTAGGAGCAGGTGAATCCACACGTGGGAAGCTCCTTATTTTAACACAGTGCCCCTGAAAATGCCCTGCAGGCTTATCCTGGGCACACCCAGACCAGTTCACATCTGGAAGTGGGACAGAGCCGTGGGCACCAGTAGGGGCTGTTGAACTTCCATGGGCCTCCAGGTGCCCATGCCCACACTGGGATGTCTCCAGCAATAAGAGAGCAGTCAGGGATGTCCTGGGGCTGAACATTTCCCCTCCCCTACAGCTGTGAGTGTGGCTGGGATGAGCCCCTGAGCCTGAGGTGGCCGTCCCTCGGTGACGGTGCAGGACATCACCGACCTGCCACTACCAGCACGTCAGAGCAGGGGGGTGACACGGTCTCTGCACAGTCATCCCTCAGCTGAGCCTCCACTGGCAGGCAGCACTAATCCCTCAGCTCTGCCTGAGCCTGCTCCAGCATCTCCCTCCTTGCAGACACCTGGAACACGGGAGTGGAGCAGAGCGAGGTGTGGAACACACGCCCAAAACAGCCACTCCTGGCCACTCTGTGCCCCTCAGGAGTCTAGAAAAGATTAAAAACCTGTGAGGAGAGGCAGAGCTGGCAGGAGGGCCCCGAGGGCTGTGTGGGGTGGGTATCAGCACAGCATCTCTGGTGCTTTAGGGGGACATGGTGCTCATTAGCACAGCCAGGATTGCAGGATTGTCCCTTGGCACTATCCTGGTCTCTCCAGCCTGGAAGCAGCCGTGCCAGAGCTGCTCCAGAGCAAGGTTTGGGAAAGAGAGGTAGAGCAGCTGGGGGGAACGAGTAGATTTCCCACTTAGCACTCTGCATATTGTTGCTATTTGTTGTTTTTTAAAAACATGACTCCTGAGAACGGCCTAACAGTGGTCACAACTAGCAGAGGTTTCCCAGCCATCTCCGTGCTGGGATGAATCCAGCCTGGAAAACAGCCTCTGCACAAGAAACCTGCACCTGAAAAGAAGTTTCTTTGCCATGCACAACTCACAGCTCTGCCCTAACCCTTTGCTTCTTTTCTCCCCAGGCCCAGGAGCTGCTCTGTGGCCTTTTTGACTCACTGGCATCAGAGAGCACCCACCGGCTCGGATCCCAGCATTGTTAGCCATGGTAGTCAAGGCCTGCAGGCAGCCTTGGATGCCACTGTGGAGATGGACACAGGGGGGCTCCCAGCTCTAAGAACACTAATATTTGTTTGGGATTAAAATGCAGAGTCTGAGGTGTGGCATTAGCACCGCTAAGATAAATGAGAGCGGTGGGAGGAAGGATCAGAGCCCCAAAACAAATATTTCTGAGCTGTAGCCATGGTTTCTAAGGGAATGCATTCAGACACAGTCTGCTTGTGTCCATGGAGCAAGGTTTGGAGCATTCCTCTGACTGGGAGAAGTTCAGTAAGTAAAGTAAATACAGTGTTCAGTGCTGCCTGTCTCTCAGGTTCTTGGGAACTCCATCTTCCCCAGGCCTCAAAGGCTTCATGGAGAGACTCAGGAACTGCTGGTAAGTGTGTTCTCTGAACCAAAGGCAAAACCACAGCAAATAAAATGGAAATAGTCTGAGAGAAGGTTGGATCCCTGGAGGGTTCAGTACGCCAGGTAGAGCCATTTAATAAGATTAAAAGCTGGATGGCTTCGTGTTCACCTGGCTCGGTGCAGCTCTGGGTGCCATAATGTCAGAAGGATCTGAAGCTGTTGGGGTGTTCAAAATAGGGACACAAGGATGGTGAAGGGTCTTCAGGGGAAGGGTCTGAGGAGCAGCTGAGGTCGCTTGGTGTGTTCAGCTGGAGAAGTGGAGACTGAGGTCAGACCTCATCGGGGTCTGCAGCTTCTTCAGGAGGGGCTGGGGAGGGGCAGCTCCAACCTCTGAGAAGGCAACACCTCTGAGATCTGTCCCCTTTCAGATGAGGCTGAAAGTGCCCAGTAAGTCCAAAAGTTGGAGGTCTGGCCCTGCAAGCTGTGCTACCTCTGTGGGTAACAGTCCTAATACAGCCTCTGTCCTTCTCCAAACCAGCTTGAAACAGCCAAAAGAGATTGTCATGCCCATGGGGGGGGACATGGACAGAGGCCAGTCCTGACCTCACACAGCATTTCAGTGTCAGAATCACTGAATCCCAGACTGGTTTGGGTTGGCAGGGACCTTAAAGCCCATCCAGTTCCACCCCCTGCCATGGACAGGGACACCTTCCATCAGACCAGGTTTCTCCAAGTCCCATCCAACCTGGCCTTGAATGTGGCAGTACCCCCCAAATCTCTGCTCCCCAGCCTGTTCACTCCTCTCTGAGCTGCATGGTGGGCCTGCACACCTCCTGAAGAGAAGCTGCAGAAATGCACTGGGGAGGGAAACAGCAGCTGCTCCAGTCCCTGGGGAGGACGAGGTCCTTGGAGTCAGCGTGACAGGGAGGCTGCTCTGCTCCTGCAGGTAAGTAGGCCATTTCCTGCACTCCAGGCGCATTTCTGTCGTGCTTGTAGAGCCGTGGAAGGCTCTGAAACAAATGAAAATTATCAGGCTCCACCCCCAGCACTCGGGGAATTTGCTCTGGAAAAGGAGCATGTGGAATAAAGCACAGGCAGGCAGCGACTGAGGGATGAGGCTGATGAACTGTGCACAAGGAGGGGCACAGGGGACCAGCAGCAGCCCAGCGTGGGGGCAGGGGGGTCACCAGAGCCCTGTCCCACTCACCTGGGCCCACAGAGCTGTGAGAGTGGGGTGAGGGGGAGCTGCACAGCAGGAGGTGATGCTCTGGGCACTGTCAGCAGTCAGCCTGGAGAGGTGACATCCCACTGGGACATTCCCAGCACATCTTAGTTAGGCCTGGCAGGAGCACTCCCAGCTCTGTGGCAGGAGCTGAGACCACGAGTCTTAATTCACAGAATCGTAGAATTACAGAAGGTTTGTCTTGGAAGGGACCTTAAAGCCCATCCCATTCAACCTCCTGCCACGGGCAGGGACACCTTCCACTGTCCCAGGTTGTTCCAAGTCCTGTCCAACCTGGCCTTGGACACTTCCAGGGATCCAGGGGCAGCCACAGCTTCTCTGGGCAACCTGTGCCAGGGCCTGACCACTCTCACAGGGAGATTATTAATTCACCGTGTAGCAAACCAGGGCCTGGCACAAAACACATCCAATATCCCATCCCCTTCCAGACATCCCCCTGCTGAGGCTTGAGCTCTGTGAGCCTCCATCCACCACCATCTTTGCCTCACCAAACGGAGGTGACAGCTCTGCCACATCCCCCAGGCACCCCAAAAACGGGGCAGCACCCCAAAAACGGGGCAGCACCCAGCTATCACCCAGCAAGAAGCCGCTGCTGGGCCTTCTATTCCTATTTTCAAGCCCAGCTCATTAGTCTGAGCGTAACAAACTACCAGGCCCCTGCGCGGAGCAGGGGAAAGAATCATCCTCTGGTATTTCCAAAATGCCAGGATTCCATAAATAACCCTGCCAGCCTTTTCTCCTAGAGAGTACCCCACTCCTCCACGGAGAGCTGACAACCAGGAGCACCAGGGACCCACCCAAAATCAGCGCTGTCAGCTCCGGCTCCATCAAAGGGAGCTGCAGCTCACACGCTGTTTTCCCCTGGAAACTGCCACAAGGCAGCCAGGATTAGCTAATCAGAGCTGAGGAGCTAGAAAACTAGGGGGGGAAAAAAAAAAAGAGGCAGATTTGATCCAAGATTTCCAGCTTTGCAGCTGGCTCCTACTTGCAAACAATTCATTTAGATGATGAAAGCAAGAAATTGAGTACAAAACCCCCTAGATTGTTTGCTTCCTGGAAAGAAAAGACAAGAAATGGAATTTAGATTAAAAATTATGCAGAATAGTATTAATTCCCCACCCTCTCGTGCCTCCCCTCTTGCTGGAAAACCAGAGCTAATCAGAATTTCGCATTGTTCTGCTGCCACTGTCAGAGCTGCCTCAATGGAGGAGAGATAAAATACAGGAGGTGGCATTTGGTGTTAACTCCTTCGAGTCCTGGCATGAGAAAAACGGGAGCGTGGTGCTGATAGCCCATTTTCCCTTTGCTCTGGCCTGATCTCCTCCCTTTGAGAGGCAAGTGCTGGGGTGCAGAGCTGCTCTCCGTGCCCTGCAGAGCTCGTGGCTCTGCTCTGGCACTGCCAGGAGTGGGCACCTTGTGTTTATTCCCCTCAGGGAAGGCTCACCTGTGCTCTCAGGTGAGCTTTGCCTCAGGGAGGGTTGGTGTCCTGAGGGGTGGAAATCAAACAGCAAAGAAGATTTACAGCCTTCCCAGCATGGGCATGGCCTGGAAATTGGGCACTTGTTTTCTTCTCCAAGGGTCCATGTCCGGTTCAGGAAGCAGGAGGAGCTGATGGACCTGCTGGAGCTGTCCCTGGATCATCCATACCCACCAAACTGGATAATCCTGGTCTGCACACCTCCCATACTCACAGATATTTGCCTTGCTCTTGCTGGCAGAGCCATAAGAACCTCTCTTGGGCAAAAGCCACCACCCTTGGATCTCCAGGAAGACCTGAGAGCCCCTTCCAGTGACCAAAGGGGCTCCAGGAGAGCTGGAGAGGGACTTTGGATAAGGGCCTGTGGTAATAGGCCAATGGGGAATGGCTTCCCACTGCCAGAGGGCAGGGTTAGGTGGGATATTGGGAAGAAATGTTTTCCTGTGAGGGCGGGCAGGCCCTGGCACAGGTTGCCCAGAGAAGCTGTGGCTGCCCCTCAATCCCTGGAAGTGTCCAAGGCCAGGTTGGACAGGGCTTGGAGCAACCTGGGCTGGTGGAAGGTGTCCCTGCCCATGGCAGGGGGATGGAACAAGATGAGTTTTAAGATCCCTTCCAACCCAGAGCATTCCATGGTATGGCAGGGCTGGTGGCTGTTCCCTGTCAGGGGACATATTTTCCTTGCCATCACCGTCCTGGAGTGGCACAGGGATCTGGGCTCTAGTCCCAGTTCTGTCCCATTGGGAAGGCAGTGTCCTCTCTCCATTCCTTGATCTCCATCTTCCCAGGACACCATCTCCCAGGCCTGCAGCAGCAGCAGGAGCCAGTGATTAATTGGTGCTTGGCAATTCCCCACAGGCAGGGGCTGGAGGAGCACAAAGGGCGCTTTGTCTGTGGCTGCGAGTGCTGATAAAGCGGGGCCGGGATGACTCAGCCGTGGGTAATTAGACAGGAGCAGCTGATGGCTCAGGCACGAACACCAGCCCCGTGCACGAGGAGCTCCCTGGATGGCTCTAAGTGGGTCATGCAGGAGAGCAGGGCTGGCAGAGCCTTTGTCCAGGCTCACCTGGCCAGGCGTGGCCACGGCCCTGCAGCAGCACCAGTGCCCGTCCCAAGGCATGGCTGGTTTGCTCCACTGAAGGAAGGCAGAAGCTCTGCTGGGGCAGTTTCACAGAGTGCAGGGTCACACTGAGGGCTGCTGGTCCTGCAAACGCTCCTGGGGAGCTCGGCTGAAGGGCTGTAGGGCTGGTCTGTCTCCCTTCACTCATCCACCCACCCACCCACACATCAATCCATCTGTTCACGCATCCATTCATCTGTCCATCTGTCCACCCACATACCCATCCATCCCTTTGTCCACTCACCCACCCATCTGTCCATCCATCCATCCATCCATCTACCCATCTATCTACCCATCCATCCACCCATCCATCCACCCATCTGTCCATCCCCATGCCCAGCCTGCACGTCCCCCCAGCTCAGCTCCTGCAGGACCAGCCGGGCTCTCCCTCCCACAGGCTGGGATCGGTCTGGGCCGTGGGGATTCCTGCCCTGCTGTCCCAGGCCAATCCCACATTTCCCTGCTCCTGCCCCAGCCAATCACTGGCAGCTGGGGGAGATCTGCAAACCTCAGGTGGGGCTTTGCTGGGCTCCCCAGCCCTGCCCTGTGCCTGTGCTTGGCTGCTCTGTGGGGTGAGTGGGTGGATCTGGCCCCTGGTGCCTCCTGCTTGCAGACCTGAGTGATGTTGGCCATCTTCTGGCTATCAGGAACCTCCCAAAATCTTTGTGAGCTTTCAAAGATCATTTTGAAGATGAAAACTTGTCTCCAGCAAGATCATTAAGTTGCTGCAGCTGATTGGAATCTTCAGGTGGCTCCAACTGAGCTGTTTGTGACCAAAGGCAGTGCTGAGGGGACTGGAGCATCTCCTTACAAGGAAAGGCTAAGGGAGCTGGGGCTGTTCAGCCTGGAAAGGAGCAGGAAAAGGGACCTCATCCATGTCCTTCAGCATCTGCAGGGAGGTGGCAGGGGCTCTGCTTGG